CGAAAACAGAAGACGAACCATAGAAGAGAAAATAGCTTTCCATTGGATATACGCATTTTAGTTGTTATGGTCATGTTGCATCGTCATGCATGCTGCAGAGCTGTCTGATTTTAAGCTAAGTTATCAGGAATCATAATATTTGCAAACAGCACCATATCGTTGGCTTCATGTTTTGGTGCTTAAGAAATCAGAAAACCATTATAAAAAAATCAAGATTCACAATAATGTAATAAAAAAGACAAAGAAATGAAGAGGATCCAACAAGAAGTTATCAGTCACATTAGATCATCACCAAAAACTCGTGTTCGATGGGTGTTTGCGTTACTTTCAAATGGGTAGCCAACGGATAGAATTCAATCACAAACATACATTTAAAAAAACTTCAACAACTTATAAAAGTCACTCCATAAATAAAAACAAAAAAAACTATAAGCAAGTATGTCCTTTGAATTACTTAATTCCAAGCAGAAGTTCGGAAGTTGACTGAGGAAGACAAATAATTTGTTATGGCTCATCTGTTTGAGCTAGCTAGTAAATCAATCTCTCACAAAATTATCTAAAGATATAAAAGAAATAAAAGGGATTTGATAAATTTTCTCGACCCAAAACTATAAAATGGCCGTTTAAAACTGGCCTGTATAGCGACTTAGCTCTTCACTAAGTGTATAATACAATGTTACAAATGTACTTACCTCAAAGTTTATTACCTTGTTGTTCCTGCAGATACGAGAGAAGCTGAGGCAAAATAAAGTTTATCTTTCGGGTGACTAGCCCCTCCTTTTCGTTTTGTCTCAAGCTGATCGGTGTAAATGATTACATTCCCTATTCCAGAAAAAAGGCCCTCTAGCAGGCATCTGAAGTTGTCCTTCTTACTCTCCAGCTTGCAACACCAAACGAAGACTTGGGGGAAGGGAAAAGTTGTACAAGATAGGCCCGTTTGTGCTTGAGTGATGATGAGGGTTAGTAATTACGGTAATTCAATCTGTAGTTAGAGGCTATATTTGGAGTGTTTTTTAACTTAATGATATAGGAAAAAGAAAAAAAAATTTCATGCATACTTTCAGGCGAGTTTTAAAAATCTTATTTTTATGAGTGATTAACATTTCTGTCAGTAATTAACAAGTCACGCGCTTAAAAATTTTGGATCTGTCTCAGTCTCTGATCAACTGTGCACCTACTCCTCCCCTGACCCAACATTAACCCTAATTTATTATCAGTTGACTGTTGTTGAGTTGGGGAAGGGGTAGGTGCATAGTTTCTCAGATACTGACATTAATACAAGGTTTTTACCTGAGTTTTTTTTCTTCTTTTACATGGTGAAGTCAGTTTTAACTTCTAATATAGCGAAATTTTACTTTAAGGCCATTTGCAAAGTCACGTCATTAATCGATATGGAGGGGGCAATCTTTCACTCACCTGTGATGGCAAAGCTGGTTCTGAGGGTATTAGCATTAGCCTACTGGAGCTAAGCTTTCACGCTCGACCAAATCTAGATATTTTGTGTTTGGATTTTATTTTGTGGACAAATATGAAGGGAACGTGCAAATGTCTCAAGTTTTTGATACATTTAGAGGTTTGTTACTCTCACGAAAGTATGAGCTAGTTATGTATAGCAGTTATGTATGTGGAGTAGCAAGTAGTGGTTTTCTTCTCGTTTAGCTTTTTATCATAAGTGTCCTGAAAATCCTTGGGCAATTGACTAATTTGCAAGTTCACCGTCTAAACCTTTTATAGTTCGCCTCCTGAAATATAACTTCGCCCTTACTTCTACAGGCTCAACCCAGAACATGTCAACTTATTTCTTAAGGGAAAAACGTATTCCTTCTCTCTCGAAATCATGATGAATTTTAATCCAAATGCAATGTTCTTTTTTCTGAGTCAAACGCTTGATGACGGAAACATCCTTCATCGCTGTGAACGCTCTACTTCAAACGAGTGACATCAAAACAAAAGATTAAAACATACAAAGAGACCAAATGAAACAAAAATAAACCTTTGCTGACAGTGTTGAAGAAAAAGGACTGAACTACCCAAATAACGAATTTTTTGGGATTAAAATTTTCATGAATGTTGCTTTGAATACATGTAAAAAAAGCCATCATCGAGATTCACTTTTCTAAGAGCATATGCCATGAGAAAATTTGGGCAATGAATGAATTAAACAGAGTTTGAATGTAAAATCTGAAATATTTTAACCTGCAGTGGTAAATGAAAAACTTTTAAGCATCATAAACTATTCGCGAAACCAGGCGAATGCTCTGATCGAGTTCTGGGATTTCAAAATTTTATTTAGCAATCGAAAAGGAATAAGCAAAGGATTCAGATACTTATGCGGATAAAATGCACCTAATTTACAAAATCTCTTAATATTTTATGATCAATAACCAATTAAATATGATCTTTCTAGAATTATTATTTTTCTTTACTGAATCATCTCCTTTAAGCTGGCACTAAAATTTCAGAAGCCTTCCTTAAATAAAGCTAACATCCGAAGAAAATCAGTTGCACACAGGTAATTAAAAAATTATGGGCAAACTGATCAAAATTTCATAAGTTCCGAAAAAATGATAATAAAGTAAAAACAACGAAGAAATTAGCCTGCACGATTAAGATCTCAATGTACAAATCAGTGGTCTTTCTTTCCTTCCTTAAAATAGTAAATTTCACAGTTTTCAACTGAACGTGACAATTCATTGATGTTTGCGAAATATCAGCATATCTTCATCGTGTTTCTTGAATGTGATCCTCTCGCCTGTAACAGAGAAGTCTTTTTTTGGAATCAATCACGAAATTCCAGAAAACGTATTCCTTTTTGACAGGATGTGAGTTTCTTCGTTTCGCTGTACGTCACATGGATATTAAGCATATCAGACATCCTTCCAAAAAGAATTCAGAGGGAAAAGTCTTAAGATTTCGATTATAAATTTCTCTCACCTTCCATCCTTTCCTTCTTTTTCTTGTAAGGTTGTCCTTCCCATTTATCGCATTAGGTAAAACACGGCATGGAGGTCGAAATAAAAATCTAGTGTGTAACCTATGTTTGACCTAGTGTTACCCCCCATTTGAAGTATCTTGGCTACGCCCCTGTAACTGTGGCCAAACTAAATTGTATCCCATCCTCTCACTATTAAGGGTCCTTGTTTAAAGAGTGGTACCGAATGGAAAGCAGGAAAATAAAACAACAACAACGAAAGTGCATTTCCACTTCTTGCAACGTAACGAAGGCAACTTTAATGACAATCACAATTCATCTATACTTGGGTCGAATGGTATCGCACATGTAAGCGTTACTTTTGCCAAAAGTAATATTATTCCCGATATTCACAATTTCAATATTAAAATGAGTAATAATAACAAATGAAATATTTGAAACTAATGCCCTTTTTGAAGTTAACTCCAAGCAATCTGATATTCTTCAATTCGCTCTGACGAGGGGTAAACGCTCAAAACGTCAGTTTTATGAACTTTTACGGTGGCCAATTTACATCATCAACTCAGCTGATGAAACCAAATTATCTTTTATCACATAAACTTCCGGCCCTGAGAAAAGTCATAACAGCACACTTAAAAAAATATCGTATTTTTGCACGTGTGTTGATATACCCAATCAGCTGCTGACACGTCACTCGCATTTGGTGCCACTCGGTCAGGTTGATGAATGAACGGAAAAGCCTTTGCGATTCTCAATACAAGTTATTTGTCGGAGCTTCCTCGAATTATGGCGGCTAAAACACTAAAAAATCTGTATTGCTAACAGGCAGTGAGGTTCAAACTTTCCTAGAGGAGGAAGAAAACCAATATACTAAAAGAAAAATGGAAAGTTACGTATTCAGTGGCTTTGGTGTTAGCATTTCTCTTGTGTTCAACTCGACATCTCACTAGTTCGCTGCGCTCACTCATGAGCTGTGCGCATTCACAAATTACGGAATACCCAAGGGATTGCCTGCTGGCGCTGACCAAACTTTCCCTACATAACTTTTAGCATCATCTCAGCCATGGAGCGCTTCCTAGGTTTCTTATCAGTCTTAGGAAAGGGTCATGATCGATACCTTCACGAGCTTTGTAGTCCCGTTTGAACAAAAGTTGTGACGTGAGAGTGAAAGAAAGAAAGAGCCAGACGAGATGCAGCCTTTTTTTTAAATGTCTAATCTTTTTTCCACAGTCTGGCCTTTTTGGGCTCTAAATTTGTTTCGAGAGCAATTTTTAGTGTTTTGTTTTGTTTTCACTGGATTATATAGCATCCTCTGAAACAAAATGTATATTCAATTTAGTATTCATATTTACAAATAGTCATACCTTAAAATAACGAAGACAGCGATAAAAATGGAAATATATACGATTCATGCTGATATATATAACTCCATATTTTACAGTGAAAAGTGGGTTACACCTCGTCAATTAAAGTTAGAAATGAGACAGTCTTTAATGTGATAAACTACAGGTACCGCTGTTTAAAGCAACGGAATAGCTGCCAGTAAATACTACCTTGATGAACATTTAATTTGATAGACAGTAAGTACATATAAATGGTATTTCGATTCTTATAGTTTCACATGAAATAACATTGAATGTGGCAACTATGTGCATCGCTGTTTTAGGCACCGAAATATTGCTTTTATAAAAAAATTAATGCGAGCGGCAATGGAAAACATGATGATATTTGGATCCTTATAGTTGAAAATGAAACACTATGTTAATTGACAGATAAAATACTTTAAATGAGGGTGGCTAAAAGGTTGTGCTGATCCCGTTTCATGCACGGATTTTCAGAAAAATTCACGCATAACGCACATGAATAAAAAAGGAAAACCTAAAATCTGTCTTCCTCTTGAGGATTTCACGGGTGGCATATATTTAAGGAGGCAATGATCACGCCTCACGCTGGTTAATAAATTCACGAATCACGCTCGCCTTTCTTTAAAATGGTTACATATTGACTTTGGCCTTAATCACGCGACACGTGTAAACCATTTACCACCCTCGTAAATGTGTACCACTGTTTAATGCAAAGAAATAGCTTCCATTTTATTAATCACATCCAACATGTCATCGGCCCCAAAGTCATATATCGTCTGAGGGGTTGGCTTTAAATGGGGCAAAACACAGTTAATATCACTGAGTTGTTTTAGCATATCGTTCTTTGCCAATAGGGCATCTTCGTCGCTTACTTTAGCCAGGAGGTGTTCTATAACCTCAAGTCTACTGCTTGCATACTCGAGTGAAGCTTCGAAATAACTCAACTCTGCATGAATTTTTTCCTTCTGGGTCTTTACTGCTCCTTTAAGTTCATCCTTCATGCGTTGCTTTTCTCCTTTTAGGAACTGAATTACTTCATTAAAGAAGTCGTCAATTTTCTGGTCGACCTCTCGCGCGTTTTGATCCAGACTCTTTTTCTGCTCCTCAAAAGCACCCATAGATCCTTGTAAAGCAAGGACTTTTTCTTTTGATTCCAGCATGGCATTTACTATCTTTTCTCTCTCAGCGGGAAATACATCTTCAGCAAAGTTGTACTTGTGATCGCGATGATCAATTAAAGCGCAGTCTCGACAAATCAACTGTTGGCAATTCAGGCAAAAGAGCTTGAGGATTTCGTCCTCGTGTTTGTTACAAAAGGGCTTGGAATTTGTGCGTCTGAGATCCAGCAGACGATTTATGATGTAGTTGGACGGAAGGTTTGCGACATCGCCATTGAGTACCTGAAGAGAAAAGGAAGCAAGACTAATTATGGACATTTCAGTGAATGGAAAGGAAAAGAGAATATAATATTTTGTTGTTAAGAGGCTGAAAGGCGAATTGTGTGCTCTTCTGCAAGCCCCTTGAGGATTTCGTTTAGACCTTGTTGTGTGCAATAGCTTTGTAAATATTCGATAAAAATTTGTGGAACGTCTTGTCGAGACCCATTGCACGTTATTAAAATGAGATACGTAGTCAAACTCTCTTAAATAAACTTACTGCAGAAAGTAGACAACTACTGATTTCAGAGTATGCATTAACTATCGTGCGCAAACAGTAAAGGAAAAATGTTTCAAACCACAAAGGAGGGCCATAATCATTTTGAAATTATCTTGGAGAAGAAGATGAGGCATCCCAATACCACCCACATATTGACGGAGGCCTCAATGAAACTAACCCCCCCCCCCTTATTTATTCGGATCGTCATTTTATAGTTTCTTGGTGTGCAGTGCCTAAAAGGGATTGTTCAATTTTAAAGTTTTGCATATTAATATTGTTGCACAATATGGACCTGATTTCCTGGCTTTTTGTTATGCAATACGATACAATGTCAATTGGCCATTAAAGGTCCGTTTCCCTAAATAATTTCTGGTTTCATACCTGACTTTTTTCTCTGCATACGGGACACCTGATAATGTATCGTTTGCGGACTCGAGTCACCAGTCCCTCCAGGCATTGTTTGCAGAAGATGTGTTGACAGGTCAACACTTTTGGCTCCGTAAACTTTTCGAGGCAAATTGAACATTCAAGATTTTCTTCTAAATCGTCCTTCGAAGTGGTCATCACTTATATCAGCTTTTGAAAGAAAACATTTATTCATAAGGCATTCATTAGGAATTAAAAAAGCTTTTATGTTTGGGTTATATAGAGAAACAACCCAAGAAACCTTCGCGTTTTTTTGGCTTTTGATGCAATTGCAATTCGTCATGGAATACCGCTGACAAGCTCTAGGTTAATTCAATGTTGCCTTTATTGGAAAACATAAACAGGGGGCTTGCAAGCTAAATAACAGAACTTTTTCTTCAGCTGCATCCAGAGCTAAAACAAAGATAAAAGCCACATGGGCAAACCTAGGTGACCAAAATACAGCAAACACACAAAAAACGTGTCTAGTTTGTGTTTCATTTAGGGAAATACGGGTCGATCGAATCATTTTTCTTCTGCAATGAGATATTTCCCTGATTTCACATGATCATTTTACTAGTGATCAGGATACAAGATATTCGCCCTCTATGAAAATACGGTGAAGAATTAACACGTTTACTTCGTTCACCTATGTTTTCATCCCTCATCTTTATCATAATAACTTCAGAAGGTGACGCTATATCTTTTTTGCGAGAAAAAAAAATTCCCAATTGAAATAATTTGGCGACCATACTGCTAACAGAAAGAACCAAAATGACCCTGGGCTCGATATTGGTATTGGCCGAAAGATCACCTTACTTCGGGCCAAGTGGCCTGACGCGCGAGAAGAAGGATACAATTTTGGAGAGGGTAGACCAGTGATCTGGGTATGTAATACTGTGTATGTAATATTAATTTAGCATGCGAAGTTCTATCAATCTAATGAAATGTTGCGAATGCGTAATCAGAAATCGCGTGTAAAAAACTGGGCTTAACGCCAATAACGAGATTAAAATGACAATAAACAATATAAATAAACCAATACAAACTACGTTAAAATACAAAAGTTTCGGTATAAAAATTACAAGAATTTGCTGGCCTTCTAGCTAGTGTCCTTAACAAACCAACTAATTAGCTAATAGTTTCTTCTTTTCAATTATTCCCCTCCCATTATAATTAAATTTTGAGAGGTTTGCCACTGAAAGAGTCTGTGGACAGGCGTTCGTGTAATTCTAACGTTCAAGGCATTTCAGTTAGTATTATGGGCAAGACTTACCTAAAACACTTTGACTCTGTTTTGTAAACCGTAACGACGAAAGTCTCGATTATCAATCCGACTGGAAAGAGAGGTGTCTACCTACAGCTAGGTAGTTAGCAAGTAACCTCTTCAGTCACTGAAAGAAGGGAACATGCTGGTTCTTTTTTTCCGTGACACAATAACAGACCTTATGTAACATCAGGACGGCGACTGCAATGAGAACTCAACGAGATATCAACCGAGAGAAATATTCTAGTTAAATCATCATTTCCCTTTTTATTAAATCCTGAATTGCTGAAAAGGAAGTTAAATGCTGGTGGTAAATGTTTGGACGCTAATGTCACGTCAGCATCGCCTCCGTATCAAGTTCGTTTAATTTTTATTATTTTTAATTGATTGATTTAATTGATTTTTAAATGTTGAACAAACTTCTAAAAATATTGTTTTCAGACGCCATTTAGTTCAAAATTATTTGGGTTTGATCGCTGAACTTAACCAAAGAAAACTGACCCGACAAAATATTTTGGTCGATCAAACAAAATTCGATCTGCGTACTTTTGTAGCGGTGTTTAGGCAGACTGTTGGACCATTTCATTCAAAAGTTCTAACAGATTTTCGGTGCTATCCGCTAGCTTAGCCTATAAATCACATAAGTATCTAAATCTATTGCAACCACAGTATTGAATGTTTCTGCAACCTAATACCAACACGACTAACTTAACAATACTGATGCCTGACTTGCTTTTAATGACATGATTCCCCAAAAGGAGCTAACTATGAAATTCTACAACAGCACTAACTACTCATCCCTCCTCTCACAAAACCTGAAATTTAGCTTGTTTCATATCATCAAGCGAGCGTTGACAAAATTTTTTGGCAGTTTCCGCTCGAAAGTCTGATCAATAGAGAGGAAAGCTGTAGTCATAATGGGTTTACGTCATTGCTAGAAAATCAATGAAATGGCCTGTAAAGTGCTTCCTGTTTTGTTTTCTTTGGTTATTTTGTTAAATCCTGAATTGCTGAAAAGGAAGTTCAATGCCGATGGTATATGTTTAGACGCCGCTAATGTCTCGTCAGCATCGCCTCCGTATCAAGTTCGTTTAATTTTTATAATTTTAAATTGAGTTTTAATTACAGAATTTGAAACTCCTATTGATAAATGTTGAACAAGCTTCTAAAATACTGTGTTCAGACGCCATTTAGTTCAAAGTTATTTGGGTTTGATCGCTGAACTTAGCCAAAGAAAACCGACCCGACAAAATATTTTGGTCGATCAAACAAAATTCGATCTGCATACTTTTGTAGCGGTGTTTAGGCAGACTGTTGGACCATTTCATATTCAACAGTCCTGACAGATTTTCAGTTCTAACCGCTAGCTTAGCCTATGAATCACATAAGTATCTAAATCTATCAGTTTATATTAATCAAATTCGAATTTATGAAAAAATATTTCTGTTCGCCAGAGAGTTTGTTTACAATCCGACCTGTAATTACAATGCAGCACTTTGGAACGGTGAAAGTATGCATGACGCTGAAAATTTGATTGCGTCAATTAAAGCTATAAATCGCAAGATAGAAGACATCTCCCGAACGAAGTATACGTTAAAAGTTTTCATGACACAAACCATGCATTTTGATCTTGTTGTGATACAAAGTACTTGACTTCCTGTTTTGCTAAAAGGGAAGTTTTATGCTTCACTGATAATTAACGTATGCGTTGTATTTTCGTCTTCTTATCTAACCTTCTGCAACTGCCTTAACATAACGTTTGAAAGACATGGACGATAAAGTTAGAGCTTGAGTTGAGTGTCGCCTAAATTCCATTTGAGTTTGAGCAGAGAGTTAAGTTTGCTTCTCTCTTGTAGTTGGTCTTATCCCCACAATATATTAGATATATAATGCAGATAAATATAATCGAAGATCTCTGCCATCTTACATCTCAAGTTGGATCATCGTCATATTAATCGCTTTGAAATTTTGTGATTAAATCTGAGCTAAAATTCCTTGATCTGGTTGGCTGGAGATGAATTTGTATGTCTTTTCTTCTTAGTTGCAACGTATATTGAACGCTCGAACTCACCTACGTTGGTCCACGTTGTCTCAATAAACTCCTTTCGGTAAAGCTGACTTGCAAGAAACAGAGAAGGGTCCAGATATGTCCCATTATATTACGTGAATTATTAAGACTTTCCAGCCTTTTTCCTAGAAGCGTATTTTGATCCTGATGTGCTGAAGGAAGTTTCTCGACTTTCCTTCCCCCATTCCCCCGCTCACCTTCGCTCAGTGGGTTGATGCGGGAGGGGGAGGGGAGTGGAGAGAGGGAGGGGAAGAGAGGCCTTAAAACGAGTTTGGGAAATTTCCGCTGGTGATGATGTTTTTTACTACAACGACATAATCTTTTTGTCGGTTTTCAGACGCTTTACGCTCACTTCAAAACTATCTTTTGAAATAATTTTAAGCAGGCTCTTCTAAATTTATGATCAAGCGTAATAAAACTACAGCTTTTCCTTTACCTCCAAGCTAAATAAAGAGGGAAGAAACTTGCTTACGAGTCTGTTACCTGGGGGAGATAGGGATATTAATTTTTGAACGTTTTTCGGATTTATTTTCTTTATTGCTTGCCTTAATCAAAATAATGAGGCAATTGCTAACACCTACTGAACACTTACCTAAAACTACTCTACTGCTAACAAGTGCGAGAATTCGAGAATCCTACAACCACGGTAGAGGTACTCCCGAGGAGCACTAGTGACGAGTTTCCGAGTCGGGTGATTATCGGGAATTGTTAGCTATTGCAATATGGCGGACTATTTCAGTAACACCATGCGCAATTTACTAACAGTCAAGCGAAGTGATTGAACCAGAGATGAACATTATAACATGCTTTACACGTGAAAAATACATTGCTCAGTTTAAATCAAGGAAATCTCGCTCAATTTTGTATGGCTGTTTCCTTCACCCTCGTCGATCTTCAGTTTCTTGTTCAGCAGAGTTTGAGCTTAACACCGTAGCCGCTAAGATCTGCGCTTGCAAAGGTAAACAAAAATTTATGAATAGTATGGCCACTATAATGCCCTTGTCGTAGTGCTACTGGTTGGAAAGATCGCCACGATGAAATTTCTATTGCCTTGTACTTCTAGCCGGTAGGATCTCATGAGGCTTTGAAAATACTACCGGCTAGAGGTACAGCCTTCATATTTAGTCAACTTTGCTAATTGTTACCACAGTTTGCTTCACATTTTACTTTTTCTGCACTCCAAATTAGTCTTACACTTCTTTGAATCATAATTTTTCATGAATACGCATACACTTATTTATTTTTATATGGTCCTGTACCTTTAACTGGTAAGATCTGAAGGGGCTAGCGCTTTTAAAATACTACCGGCTAGAGGTACAGTTTGCATACCCAGTTGAATTTGCTCAATTTTTATTACGATTAGCTCCACATTTGACTTTTTTGCACTCCAAATTAGTCTTACACTCCTTGGAATCATTTTTTACAAGAGTAAATTTACATTTATTTTTTAAAACTTGCTATTGTACCTGTAGCTAGTAGGATCTCAGGAGGCTTAGAAAAGACTTCCAGTTAGAGGTACAGCTTGCATATTTAATCAACTTTGCCCAATTTTTACTGCAGTTTGCCCATTTTACTTTCTGCACTCCACATTAGTCTTACACTCCTTGGAATCACTTTTTACATGACTTCATTGACATTTTGTTCTCTTTTACTTAGTCTAAAAACCTCTAGCTGGTAGGATCTTAGGAGGCCTAGAAAATACTTGAAGTACAGCTTGCTTATTTAATTGACTTTGCCAAATTTTCTTACAGAGTGCTTTTCATTTTACTTTTTGGCATTACATTTTAATCTTATAGTTACACTTCAATCATTTTTTTCAAGAATACCTTCTCTCCTTGGTCGCGTACCTACCACCTACCACTGCTTATTTGATAGCACAGCACACAAGCTGTGAGCATCAAATGACTCTTTATAGGGAATCAGCTGAAACTAAAGCAGGCATTATTTGACAATAAGCAAAGGGTGTCTGGTTGGCGTTAAAACAAGATAGATAGATAAGATAGATGGTTTATTTAAATCACATCGCAGCCCGACCTCTGAATTAAGTAACTTTTAGAACTTTTAAAAGGACAATAATAATCTATGATAAATCTATGTTAAATATTATGGTAAAAATGTTTAAATTTGTAAAACTTTTTCAGCCTTGAACTAAAATTTAAGAAATAATCTATGTATTATGAGAAGATGCGTTGAATAGCCGGGATATTGCGAGTATGAAAGTGTTATTTGCCCTATTGGTGTGAACGCGCGGTAAAACAAAGGGACGATTGTATCGAAAATTATAAACAACATTATTTTATCTGTGGCAGTAATCCATGTAGCTTATGGTTGGGGTCGGCTACTATGGCGTCAAACAGTTTAGTGCATAGCTGACTATGGTGTTCGGTTATTGGCGTTATTCCCAAAACTTCGCAGGCTTTGTTGTAGCTCGTGCTGGGCAAAATTATCGATAGTGCCCTTTTCTCGATATGTATGAGCTCGTTCTTAAGGTACTGCGGAAGCGCGTTGTGAAAAATCGAAACTCCGTAGTCTATCGTAGATCGAACACACGAAAGATAGAAAAGAACTAGGTCTGAAGGAGGTAGTCGGGCCCGTTTCAGCTGTACGAGAAAGTATAGTTTTTTGTTGGTTTTCTTTACTAACTCGTTAATGTGGGCGTTCCAAGTTAAGTTGTCGCTTATAGTTATACCTAGTAACTTGGCACTGTTTACCACTTCAATTTCCTTATCATCGATGGACACCGAATGGAAGGCCTCAGGGTTCCGGGAAAACGAGATTCTCAATTCTTTGCATTTATCTGGATTTAGCACTACCCTGTTCTTACGGGACCATTCGATTAATTCGTCGGTTATACCCTGGAGTGTTACTGGTATTTCCCTTTTGAAAACAAGAAAGGTTTGATTTATTTTTAACAGTAGCAATTTTTATTAAAAAATACAATCAGTAACACAGGCCCAGGTTAATCTCATGTATATAATTGTATAAATTCTGTATATGTAGTAGAAAACCATTGTACATTTTCAAGAATGACTTGCTTTAAGGTTTCATACAGTCCTACATGCTGTTAAATATCATTGGAAATACATAAGGAAAATGTCAATTTGGTGAATTATAATCATGTTATCCTATGACTACCGAAAGATGACTTGATTTTAGTATTTCAGACAATGGTTGACCTCGTCAACATCACTTTTAACCAAACACAAATATCATGAAAATAGAGACTGTTCCTTTCTCAGAAATTCCACTAATAGTTAGGCAGAGTATCACACAACAAACTTCAGTAAATCTGGTTGACATGTTCAAGTCTGAAATAGATTTCAAGTCAAATCCATCTAAAACTGGTTATATTTGCATGGAGATAAATCCACTACCGAAGAAAATACAAGCTAGTTTAAAATTTAGTATGAAATTCCTTTAAAACATAACAATGTAGATGAGTTCCAGCTTACCTCATATACATAAGCTGCCCCTCTGGCTGGAAGTGTTTCTGAGTAATCCGAGATCCTACTATCCAGATGAACAAGAGTGCAAAGCATTAAAAAAACTTATGGAGTGACTCCACAACCGTATGAGACTAACATGGAATTTAGAAAGGTTTTTTCCATAAATCAAGAGGTAAATGAAACGAGCTAAATTCACCCTAAACGTACCTCTAGCCTGTAGTATTTTCACTACAGGCTAGGGTAGGCAAAGTCCACTGAGAATGCAAGCTGTACCTCTAGCCTGTAGTATTTTATCAGCCCCCTAAGATCCTACCAGCTTGAGGTTAAAGACCAAATAAAAATAAATAAATGTATACGTATTCCTGGAAAAAATTGATTCAAACGAGTTTAAGACTAATTTCAGTGGAGTGCGGAAATAGTAAAATGCGAAGGAAACCATCGTAATAATTGTGCAAATTTGACTAGATATGCAAGCTGTACCTCTGGCCGGTAGTATTTTCTAAGCTTCCTGAGATCCCACCGGCTAGAGGTAGAAGACAATAGAAATTTCATCTTGGGGATCTTTCCAACCAGTAGCACCATGAAAGGGGCATATAGTGGCGATACTATTCATAAGTTTTGTTTACCTTTGCAAATGTTGTTCTTAGCGGCTACAGCTTTAAGCTAAGACTCTGCTAAACAAGGAACTTAGGATCGACCAAGGCGAAGGAAATAGCCACACAAAATTTGGCGAAATTTCCTTGATTGAAACTCAACAATGTATACTCCACATGTAAAGCACGTTCTAATGTTCATATCTGGTCTGGTTGAATCATATCGCTTGACTGTTAGTAAATTGCGCATGGTGTTACTAGAATGGTCCGCCATATTGCAATAGCCGACAATTTCCGATAATCACCCGCCTCGGAAACCCGTGACTAGTGCTCCTCGTGCGTACCTCTAGCCGGTAGAATTTAGGCACAACCTACAACCACCTCGTTTCCAGGGTCTCTCTGGCTCTAAATGAAGGGAAGAAGAGAGACCCTGGGAATGAGGTTGCAACCACAGTATTGAACGTTTCTGTAATCGTAATACCAACACGACTAACTTAACGATACCGATGCCTGACTTGCTTTACAATGACATGGTTCCTCAAAAGGAGCTAACTATGAAATTCTACAGCAGCACTAACTACTCATCCTTCCTCTCATAAAATCTCAAATTTAGCTTGTTTATATCTTCAAACGAGCGTTGACAAAATCTTTTAGCAGCTTCCGCTCGAAAGCCTGATTAATAGAGAGGAAAGCTGCAGTCACAATGGGTTAACGTCATTGCAAGAACGTCAACAAAGTGGCCTGGAAAGGCCTTCTTGTTTTGCTTTCTTCAATTATTTTGAATATTTTTTATGCAAGTCACAATCAATTTCTTTTCCTTTTTGCAGAACAATTTTTGGCTGGCATTTTAGGAATATGTGCTTTGCATTTGTTGAAGTCACGAATGTTTGAATTGGTGTTTCACATGAAGGCAGACACAGAAAAAGAACTGTTTAAATAAAAGTTTGTATGATAGGATGGCAGTAGAATTAGGTATCAAGTTTTTAAGGGGAAAAGCAGGAATCCTATTAACTAATCAGATGCAATTCGATAAATGAAGTTTAGAGTCATATAATATTGCAACAAATGCAGGATTGAAACAATCAAACTTTTTAACGTGGGCAGGGATTCGAAGTGCAATTCCTGGCCACTTGAAATTTTTGGATGACAATAGCAGAAAAACTGGTCTATTAGAATTTTGCTGCGGGGAAAAAGTGTTTGATCCTGTGCTATGTAAAAGTAAACAATTTTACGAATTCCTCATTGCAAAAAAGGGAATAGTATCAAGGGGCTTCACTAAATTGAAAAATGACTTTGACTTAGATGATATTACTGTGTCAAAGGTTTTTCTCAATTTGCTGTCAGTTTCATCGGAAACCTTTATTAGCAAAACAATCTACATACCTGCACCATACACAAAATAAATATGATAAGGAACGTTACTGTCAAAGATACATCTTTTGTTCTGGATGACATCGACGTTTCCCATATTAAAAAAAAAAGCAGCTGTCATTTTGCCGAATGATTAATGAATGCCTTGTAAAGTTTGTTTCTAACTTATAATTATTCAGCCTCAGAGGCTTTTAAGGGTGTTTGATGATGAGAAATAAATTGGCATTTGCAGATTTACTGCACTAAGACAAATTTTGAATTAACGTCATGTTTAGACTGGACTTCAGTCCGTCACGGTTCTCCCAGATTCGGAGACGGGTTGGGTACCAGTATCAACACAAAGACGGGGCCACACTCTATTTTTGATTAGAGAATCTGACCACAGGTTGTTTCACAGGCAGCCCAAGCTCAAGTCTCACTTGTTCAAATTCTCAACGGTTCTTTTAGTAAGTTAACACCGAGTCACACAACGCGTGACGCTTTCATGAATTAATCGTTTGCTTTTTCTCGAGACGTGAGCTTGGGCCATCTGTGGTTGCTTTAACAAAGAAATAACCAAGTGTTGACAGCTGAAGCGACCAATGGATTAATTCGACACCATTTGTCTCAGAAACAAGCCAGAAATAACAATTCTTGAATACTATTTGTGATAAGAGTAATTTTTTTACTTGATTAAAAACAAATTAACGAACGTAGACGGTAGTCTCGTTTAATATTTAAGTGCTTTATCTCCTTTCCTGAAATTTTTATATCTAAATGATGATATCATCTTAATAACAAAATCGAATATGGCATGAAGAAAATGACGGAAGATAAAACGTTATCAAAGCAGGTGAACGTGAACTGCTGTCTCTTGATTAATATTTATCAGATACATATTTGCTACGGAAAACATGTTTATGGGTTTATGCTTCACAGGTGGATCAAAATAGTCAAATAGTGAGCTGACTTCACTCGGAACACCCACCATTCTTCTGCTGTGTAAATCAGTTTAAGGTGCATTGGCGATGAACAGAATCTCAGCGTTAGGATATTCGGGCTTTGAATTTTCCATCAAAGTCACTTTTCCAGTGTGGTCAGATCCCACATAGCAGCCGGTTTTGTCGTGTTTGAGCATGGTGTAGCTCCAGAAATACTCAGGCAAAAAGATATCGCTTTCGACATTAAGCGAAGAAATTTCCTTGCAAAACGGAAAGTATCTTTGAATTAGAAATAATTTTGATTAAGCAATTAATGACGGACAGATCGAATGACTGACTGAATAAATTCATCAACGAGTGAATGAGCGGGTGAGGAAGTGGGCATAATTAATTATGAATGGATAATTGAATGAGTGAAGCTAAAATGAATGAATGAAAGTTGAATTGTATGAATGAGATAACTCCTTACTTCGGTTCGGATTTCTTGTCCGCATCCAATTCCTTTCATTGCATACTGCTTGTTTAGCTTTGTGTCCGTGAATAGAAGGGCCACAGCATTGCTATTATTCTGTGACTTGCTTTTCACATCAATGACCAGTATGTTAGCTATGATAAGGATTTAAGGAGAACCAGTTATCACTATTGACTTCAGCAATGAGGAGATATCGAAAGAAAAAAGACCGTTTTGGAATACTCCTCATAAAAACTAATGCAACAACCGGTTCTATTTCATGGTTCAGAGCTCAATATCCTCGTTAGAGCTTGCGGTCGCAGGTTGTTCACGATGTATTGTGTTTGATAAGTTTGAGTTGCATGTTAATGGACTTCGTTTGATATTTTCTTAAGTTGTAGAATCAATCAGAAGACATTTAAGCACAAAAAAGGCAAAAATTCATACGTATCAAAGCGGCTTAAGTCAAGTTGACTCAAATTCTTTCAAGTTTATCTTAATTTCGAAGAGGATATCAATAGCTCTACGAGAAGTGAGTATTAAAATCCAGCGCCCTGATGTAAATGTAGTTTACTACAAAGACGGGTACGAACTTCCGCCAAAGTGATCATCAGCTAATAGGAAATTACATAAAACGTATTAACTTCATTTGCTACAATGACTTAAAATCCTTGCAGAGGTAAATTTTTATCGTTATTAGAAAGAGCTTCAATGAGAGATGGAAGGCAACCTTCCCTTCCATCATGCTCTCCTCATCGGGTCAAACAATTTCGCGACGCCGATGTTGCTAAAGCTTATTTTCACGGCCATTGAGGCTATTGTTTATATCACTGCATTTAACTGTTTACTTACTATGATCAGCCTCCTCAAAAGTTCCATCACAAATCACTATGTTTTCACTGGGACTCCTCTTCATAACACCACCATTTTTGTTGCTAACTGCGCTCCAAAACCGATAAGTAGCACTTACCCAAAGTGGATGGGGCTTTGAAGGCGAGTTCGAGTCAGCCAACTCATTCATGTGCAGATGAAACGTATGTTGGCCTCCCGAAATTGAAATATTAGGTGGTGCTCGGGTCTCCTTCTCTTTAGCCTGAAAAGGTAGCAGATATAATCAGCTTAGTATAACGATGCAGGATGTGCTTATTTGCTCTTTAATAATGTACATGAAAAAAACTACACGCTTCTGATTGGCTGAAAACGAGTGCATTCTAAGGTAACACGAGTACAAATCCATAACACGAGTGCCGACTAGTTTGTAACACGAGTGCGAATTACAAATAGCGAGAGCACGCTGTCAAAGTATCGTCTGTCTTGACTTCTTGTGATTTTTTTTTTCATATACATTATTAACAAGTAATAATATGATTTCTCTTGCAATTTGGTGTAATAAGCCCCTGTAAACTTTCCAAAGACTACGAATTGCACTTGCCCTACGGGCTCGTGCGATTTTGTTATCTTTGAAAAATTTACCCGTGCTTATCGACACCAAATTCATTCGAGATCATTTTCTTACCTATACTTATTGCATGGCTGCGTTGATGGGAAGAGGTAAGATTGAAGATCTTTTTCTTCCTCTGAGAAGGAGCCGCAGGTTGATCAAAAGGGTCATTTTGTCAAATTATTATTGTTCTTACCATGCCTTCCGGTTTACTTAAGTGTTTAAACTGCATGCTACCAGAGAGATGTGACTGACTTGACTTAATGTAGGGAAGAACAAACGAAACGAAACGAAACGAAACGGAAGGAAAGAAAACGAAAAGAAACAAGAGGAAAAGAAACGAAAGGAAAGGAAAGGCTACCGGCTATGTCACATGGATGCTGACTATTCCTGGAGTCTAAAAATTTAAAGATTACATCAGAACAGTAGAGCAAAATCGAGTTGAGAGAGAGGTGGTCTCCATAAGGAATTCAACCTCAGACCTTCTTATATTCTTATAGTAAACTCTCCAGGTTCTTCTTTCCTTTCAGAGAACCACCAAATGAAAGGGATAACCTGAGACGGATTAGCATTCCTTGTAAATGATGTGCTGGAAGGAGCACTTGGCTGTTTTTTTAAGAATCAACCCATATGTATTTTTATTTTACTTTTATTTTTTTCTTAGTCAAACGCTTGATCAAGGAAACACCGCTATATCGCTTCAAACGAGTGCCAGGATTAAAAAAAGATTAAAACAAACAAAGATACCAAATAAAAAAACAACAACAACAACATAAAATAAGCCCCCAACCGTCAACACCCCCCCCCCCCCCCAAAAAGGGAAACAAAAACAAGAAAGAACAGACCAAACAAACAAACAAACAAAAAACGAAAACAAGTTGTTGAAAAGAGGGAAATCAATGTATTTGAACCTAGGCCGAAACTAGATTTTGTGGGTCTGTAGAGTACGAGGGAGAATGCGAGAGTAGAGGGAGGAGTCTTGATTTCATATGAATCCTAATTTTAGCATAAACGCAAATTACTCTTACTGGAACAAAACACTGTTCCTATTCAACCTTTGTATTTCTAACGCCTGCTTCTTTAGTGCTCAAGCAATAACCACAATACTTTTTGCTCTCAGTGTTGCAGAAAAAGGACTGAAGTACCCAAATAATAAATTTTTGGGGGTTGAAAATTTTTCATGAATGTTACTTTAAAAACATGTAAAAAAGAAAGCTATTATCGTTATTCCCTTTTCTAAGTGTATATGCCATGAGAACATTTGGACAATGAACGCATTAAACAGAGTTTGAATCTAAAATCTGAAATCTGTCATCAATTTAAACATAAAAAACTGTTCGCAGAACCAGGCGAATGTTCTGGGTTCTGGGATTACAATATTTTATCTGGCGATTGAAAAGGAATAAGCAAAGGATTCAGGTACTTGTGCAGATAAAACGCACCTAATTTATAAAATCTCTTCATATTTTATGATCAATAAAGCACTTAACTATGATCTTTCTGGTATTATTTTTTTATTTACTGAATCATATCCTTGTAGCTGGCACTAAAATTTCTGAAGCCTTCCTTGAATAAGGCTAACATCTGACGAAAATCAGTTGCACATAGGTGATTTAAACCATTATGGGCAAACCGTTCACAATTCCATTCACAATTTCATAGGTTCCTTCTTTCACTGAAGTAAAAAAAAAAAGAGTAAAACAAGCAAAAAAACAATGAAGGAAATTAGCTTGCACAATTAAGATCTTAATGTACAACTCAGTGTCCATTTTTCTTTTAAATAATAAATTTTACAATTTTCCACTGAACGTGATAATTTATTGATGTTTGCTAGAGACTTTGTCTTTGTGAGGGGGGAGAGGGGGGTGGAAATAAGAGATTGATGCTACTAAAAAAAATTCAATAAAACGTAGCAACAAAACAGAACAGAAAATCAACACTATACGAAAGAAAACAACACAGCTGAACACAACAACACGATAGTAGGAATATAACAAATTAACTCAGCTCGACTCAACACGACACTATACAACACAGCAAAACAACATTACAACTCAAAAAAACTTAACAGAGCCGAACTGAACACAACAAAACACAACATAACATAATTATTTGAATGATTGCCGTCAATGCTATTGCACATGCCCATCATATTTATCCCCCTAGAAGAGAGCTCTGAGTATCAAAATGACCATTTTCAAGCTAAATATGCAAAACTCTAGACAAGGTTTCTCAAAACCCCCAAAATTAGTATTTCTTTGGTATTTGGTATTTCTGGAGTAAATATCAACTAATATGATTATCATCAGATAAGAGGGATGTGGCAAGAAATGTCAAAGATGCATACAGTAACATTGCTACGCTTTTTGTGTCATGGACTTCTGGCCTGAACTGCGGCTCACGTTACTCTTTAAATAAACAGAATTATTTACTACCCCCCTCCCCCCCTCCCTGCTAAAACTTCCACCGCAGGCTACTTTGTCATTGTTTGGAACCCTCTCTAAAAGCCCAGTATTGCTCTGGCTGACAGGGCTCCAGAGTTGATGAATGATATTTCTCTGGATTTTTGCGGGTTTCAAAAACAACTAAAAAATCAAGAATAAATTTGTTTACACAACAGCCCCGCAGAAGCGTAAAAGCAAAAAGAAGGTTCGAAAAAGTAATGATTAAACAAACAAACAAATAAAGCAAACAAAGAACCAAAACAAATAAAAGAGTAGGTTGTGTCTGTTTTCATCGATGTGGAATACAAAATTCTGCAGATACTGAAAAAATATCGAGCCTGCTTAAGGAAAGAAAAGAATTAAGAACACATACCTCTGCATTATCTACGCGGTTCCCGTTCTGACGCCTTCCAAAACAGCTCATCTATCAGAGATACCAACTATTAGAATGGTTCCTTCTTATATCTTAATGAGCGCACGCTCGATTATCGTGTATACCTACTCGGGCCATAAATAACACCGTGTAACCGCAAAGGAATAATTTTCCTCCACAGGTGGTAATTTATTCCTTTATTTAACATAATGCCTGAACAGTTTGCTTTTGAAGTTAATTGTGTGCGAGGGCTTTCTTTGCCAATTACGTAGATAATTGAGAGCGAAAAAATAGTCAACCATTAAATGTGCAAAGCAGCCGTTAGCATACTTTGCGCCTGGTTTGGAACGCCGTAACACTCTCTGACTCAAATCAAAGTTGGGTTAGAAATGACTGCATCTTTTGCATCAACTGCTTTTGAACACTCAATACTGTCACCCTCATAATTAAAGACTATTTTTAAGCAGCATCTGAGGTTGGACTCACGCATATTTGTTTATGATCTCGACTCGTAAGTAAATTTTTTTAGGAAATTGAGTAAAAAAAACTGAACGAAAGGCCACATTAAATTTGAAGCGACGAGCATGTTTCGGTCCAGATGAATTGTAAATCTGTGAGTCAGGCTGTACGGTATTCTCCGAGGCATGTTAAGAAGATTAAATCAAAAAATTGAAACACACGAGCAAACTTTTTCATCAAATGAACCAAGATTTCTTAGGTTAAGTTTATCATCATACAGCAACTTGCTAGTACTCACCGTGAAACGAACACCTTCTCCCTGTTGTGAGGAAGTGAAATGAGGGAACGAAGAAGTGTAAACAAAAGTTGCTGGCAAGGCAACCAGTTTCGAAACCTAAACTGTAAAGGCACCTCCTTAATCGCTCTTAGTTTTTTCTTATTCACGTTTCCACAACGGTCATCCGCTGCCTCTTCCCTAAAAAATCGCCTCACTGGATAACTTAATCGTCGAAATTTTAAAGCTGTTAGTTGTAATGTCAGTTCGTTTTGACCAATTCTCGCGTGACTAGATATTTTAATGATATGTCAATATATACACAAAAGTTGTGAGGTGAGGGTGAAAGAAAGAAAGGGCCAGACGAGATGCAGTCTTTTATTTTATGTCTGATAATTTCTCCACAGTTTGGCTTTTTAGGCTCTAAATTTGTTTCGAGAGCAACCTGTAGTGTTTTGCTTCACTGGATTACATAGCATCTTCTGCAACAAAATGTTTGTTCAATTTAGTATTCATATTTGTAAATAGTCATGCCTTAATATTGTTTTTAATCGTTTTCGACCGCCAAAAGTTGATGCAGGTTGAGATAACGAAACCTGCCTAGACATATTTGCTTAACGATGCATTCTGAGAGTTTATGCATGTCCTCTGGCGCTTTTTGATGCAATTTCAATCGCTCAATGAAACATTCGGTCTGTATCATGCTGCAAATATTGTGTGCATCACTCGTTGAGGATTGACACTTTCCTTCCTTCAACCCAGATGTAATCCTAGGTATTCACAAACCATTAATCACTATGTGCGGACAAATGCAGTGTTTTTCCTTCGCAGTTGAATAGCAACGGAAATGAGCCATGATAAACGTAAATGGCTTCCATCAGCTATGTGAATTCATTTGTTATGATCATACTCACAGCATCATCAAGAATGCTACAAAGCTTTCTGACTTAAGTAAAGTAGCTTTTATCTATCAGGAATCGTTATATTTGCAAACAGCGGCATAATGTTGGCTCGAGCGCTAAAACAATCAAATAACTTCGCATCCTTTTTTGTTTCCTCAGCGGATGTACGAGGCCGCCGTCATTGCATTAGGCGCCTGAATTTGAAGGTTATGACATTTTTACATCCAATTTAGGTTGCGATACAAATCATTGCATCCTCAACTGCAAAATACTCTATGCTGTGTGTCCCTTGTGACCACAAACTTTAACTAATCACCATCTGCGTTTGGAGTCACGAACATTTGTTTTCCGTGGCGCCTTAAAGCCGAGTGCATAAATAGAATTATTCTTTAGTTCCCCTTCTTACTCTCGAGCTTAACACACTAAACGAAGACTTGGGGGAAGGGAAAGGATGTACAAGATAGGCTCGTTTGTGCTTGTGTGATGATGAGGGTTAGTAATGACGGTAATTAAATTTGTGTTAGAGCTTATATTTGGAGTATTCTGAACATAATGATATAGAAAAAAATATGTTTTTCTTTTCGTGTATATCTTCAGGCGATTTAAAGCTTATTTCTAAAACTGATTAGCATTTCTTACATTAGTTTAAGAGTCACGTGTTTAGAGGTTTTTGGATCTGTCTCAGTTCAGTTCTGATCAGCTAATGTACACCTACTCCCCTAACCCAACATTTTGCCTAATTTGTTATCAGTTGACTGCTGTTGGTTTGGGGGATGGGTGGGTGCACATTTGCACAGATATTGACATTAATACAACGTTTTTCTCTTGAGTCTTTTTAGGCAATTGTATTTGAATTGTATCCAGAATGTGAATGCCTCCTGGTGAGAGAGTTTTTAATCCTATTTCTGTCCCTGATTAGTATATCTTTCAATAGTTATATATAAATGTTCGACTGTAAATTTTACAGGCTTTTCTTAGTCACTTGTATCTCTTTCTAAAAATATCACAGCCATCATGTTTGTCTAAAGATGAGGACTAGATAAGGCAATTGTATTCGTATTGTTTCGTCGAAATGTGAATGCCTCCCGGTACTACTACGTTTGTCACTGATTAGCATATCTAATTAACAGATTTGTGATAACAACCACAATAGGACAATCAACTTGCTTAACTGTCAAATAATAAGTTTGAAATATTACCTTTTTTTTCGATTGAAGCGTCGGAGTAATAAATTTCGTTCCAAGTTTTTAACAGTTTTTTGGTTTCAACTAAAATAAAAAGGCAAAGAAGAGGCGAGAGGACCATGATCATGACAATTTATACTGGTTTTAATCGTTTTCGACCTCCAAAAGTTGATGCAGGTTAAGATAACGAAACCTGCTCCGATATGTTCGCTTAACGATGCGTTCTGAGAGTTTATGCATGTCTTTTGGCGCTTTTTGATGCTATTTCAATCGCTTAATGAAACATTCGGTCTGTATATAATTATAATGTGTGCAATTAGTTTTCTTTATTAGATTTGGTCTTTCTTTTGCGTTTATAATGAACAGTGCGCACAACATTGACAAGTCGGGAAGTTACGATAAAAACTCCGCTAGGACGCGTAATTTGCCAGGTTATATCGGCGTGTCATTTTAAAAGCGGTCACATTAGAGTGGGAATGGCTTCGAATGATGTTGAAAATAGTTTAAGTATTACCATGGGGGAGAAACATTGAATACACTTTAAGGTATGAGCGGTATCCCAACTGAGGTTTGTAAAAGTTTGTAGAATGCCTTCCTTATTTTAGCTCAGATATTATCATATGTATTCATAAACCATGTAATCACTTTATGTGGACAAATGCGGAAATGGTCAAACCAGAACAGAAGACGAACCGTAAAAAGAAAATATCTTTCCACCGGATATGTGAGTTTTCGTCGTTATCGTTACGTTGAATTTTTAAGAACGCTGGAAACTTTCTGACTTGAGTCAAGTAGCTCTAAGCTATCAAGAATCTTTGTATATGCAAACGGCGGAAGAAGATTTAAATTTCATATTCAAAGTGATTATAACATCAGGCCATTTGAAACGAGGTGGGAACTAACGAGTAGATAAGTCCCCGGAAACATTTTAAAAGAAAAGCAAAGGAAGTTTTTACAACGTTAATGTCACAAATTTGGTCATCCCAAAACTGTGATATTCGTCATTTGAAATTAGCTATCGACGGCCACTAAAGCGACCCGGTATAGCTTCAGTTCTCTCAGCTCAAAGCGAAAATAATACAATGATTTAACGCTGTACTTACCTTGAAGTTTACGTACTTGATGTTCTCGCTGACACGACACAGACCGAGGTGAAATAAAGTTTATCAGTCATATGACTAGCCTCTCCTTTTTCTTTTGTCTTAATATTGCACTTATTGGATCTATCGTTGCATAAACAAGTGGTGTGAGAGCCAGGTCGCCTGGGGGAAGGGAAAGGGTTACTAGGAGAGGCCGTTTTTAGTAACTTGAACAAAAACTGCCATAATCAAGAATGTGATCTTGGGTTTGTGAATACCCCCCTGGCGTCTGTGTTTTTAATCTTACTCCTGTCATTGATTAGAACCCCTGTCAGTAGTTACCAAAGTCACGACATTAAAGGTTTTGCTCTTCAGTCTTTTTTCGTTTTCTTTTAATTACATGTGTAAGTAAGTTTATACTGCATTGGAAATTGGGAAATTGTATCAATAATCACGTTAGGACACTCCAACTTCTTCTTTCTTTTGCAACGTTTCTTTTGAGCCATCCAACAGGAGCACTTTTGGAATGATGCTGAATGCTGTTTGAGACTTGAAAATATTCTACTTAATTCTTGCGGTAGCTTATCAATAAGTTAGTGTTTAAGTTTGGACAATTAGCTTAACTAAGCAAGGAGAAAAAATTTGTCAGATATGATAGTTTAGTGAAATGCTTCCTTAAAATGCTATACATACTTTGAAGCTCAATAACTTGTGGTTGTTCATGTAGTTAGAAGAAAAACATTGTATTTGAATTATTATTGAAAGTGAGGCTGCCAAAAATGGCAAATATTTCTATCATGAAATAAGCTCTTGGCTTTGTTTATCCCCCCTGCCATTTCTATCGCAAAATGATTCATTTTGCCCGTAATTGTTTTTATGACTTAAAAAATTTGCATTCGGTTTGCGATATATTTTGTTATGTATGGCTGTCCACACAGCACTGAAGAGTCTTAATAAATTTGTGATAAGAACCACGGCATGTTCTTGGCTGTTATTGGCTGTTCTTGGCTGTAAGATATTAGGCTTCCACATGAGGGATCAAGCGGTTTTAATCAGGAAGTATGTATGGTAGAATTAACTTTTTTTATCTGGAGCATCGGAGCGATGAATCTTGTTCACAGTTTTGAAACATTTTGAGATCTCAGCCGAAATAACCAGCCAAAGAAGAGTTGCGAGGAGGATCATTACGATTTACGATATTCTTTTTGGTCGTTTTCGACCTCCAATAGTTGATGAAGGTTTTGTTTTTCTATGACATCAGGTCCTGGATAACGAAACATGCTCCGACATATCTGTTTAATGATGCGTTGCGAGGCTTTTTGCATGCTCTCTGACAATTTTGATGCTATTTTTGTCGCTGAATGATTCATTCGTTCTAGAGTTTTGTAGTTATCATGACTGCAAATATTGTGTGCATCACTCGCTGTACATTGACGCTTTCCTTCCTTCAACCCAGATATAATCGTATGAATTCACAAACCGTTAATCATTTTATGCGGACAAATGCAGAGGTGTTCGTTCGCGGTTGAATATCAACGGAAGTGACGCCTAACAATAACTAATCACCTTCTGCGTTTGGACTAACGAACATTTGTTTACAATGATGCTTCAAAGCCGAGGGCATAAATATAATTATTCGTTAGGCTTCACCGGGCAACATTGCACCGAAAAAACCGAACGAAAGACCACTCTTCCTATACCAACTTTTCTAGATCCAGCTAGATGGTAGATTTGGTGTTTTGCGAAAGGATTAAGTGAGCCTGATTCTACAAAACACGATTAACGCAAGGCCCAAGATACGGAGAACACTTAAAAATGCTCACCTGAAAAATAAGTGCAATCCACGTCATAACAGAATCTAACAAGGTTTTTATTTCAACAAGGTTGTCAAAATTGAAAAACATTTCGATCGTTAAATAGATGCTCCAGGATTTTTGAATGCCTTTCGATGCTACTTCCGTCCCAAGATTCTATTTCCGCCCGTGGTAATGTATTTGTAACTCGAAAAGTTTTCTTCTTCAATTTGTTCTAGTTGCATTTAACATAAACTGTATCTCTTCCTTCCAATTAATCCAAAGTTCCTCCGTGGATGTGCAAAGTGTCTAATGACTGTCGAGCACGTCTTTGTATCCAGGAGTAAATATTACATTCTAATGGGAAGCATTAATCAACAAAGTGGAATTATCGACTTAAATAAATCACAATGTAGGAAAAAAAAATATTTACGCCATTTGAAATATGTCATGACGAGTGATGCCCACTTGTTCGATCGCATATAAGAGAACGGTAAACAAACTCCATAAGAGGAAAAAGCATTGTATTGGATATGTGCGAATTTTGGTTGTATTTACAAGTTTCTGTAGAGGCAGGCACGCAAGCGGCCGGTGGTAATGGTATTTGAGTGCTGCTGCAAATTCTCAGTTTATTGGAATGGATTCTAGTGATGTTGATAGTTGTTAGAATATCAGAATGGGGGAGGAAATTAAATCCATTCTGAGGTATCAGCGGTATCCCGTCCATGAACAACAAAATTTTGTATTGCATGCATGTGCATCGTTCGCAAAAAAAAGGAGTTGCGCCTTCTTTCCTCCAACCGAGATAAAATCATACATATATACATGTACATATATATACAATCATATATGTATGCATTTACGAACCATGTTATCAGTTCATGCGGAAAAACGCGGAGGTTTTCTTTGCAGTCGACCGAAAACAGAAGACGAACCATAGAAGAGAAAATAGCTTTCCATCGGATATACGCATTTTGCTTGTTATGGTCATGTTGCATCGTCATGCATGCTTCAGAGCTGTCTGATTTAGGTTAAGTCACTCTAATCTATCAGGCATCATTATATTTGGAAGCAGCGCCATATTGTTGGCTTCATGTTTTGGTGCTTAAGAAATCAGAAAACCATCAGCAAAAAATCAAGATTCACAGTAATGTAATAAAAAAGACAAAGGAATGAAGAGGATCCAACAAGAAATTACCAGTCACCTTAAATCATCACCAAAAACTCGTGTTCGATGAGTGTTTGCGTTACTTTCTAATGGGTAGCCAACAGATAGAATTCAATCACAAATACATATTTTAAAAAAACTTCAACAACTTATAAAAGTCATTCCATAAAAAAAAAAACTATAAGCAAGTATGTCCTTTGAATAACTTAATTCCAAGCGGAAGTTCGGATGTTGACTGGAGAAGACAAATAATTTATTCTGGCTCATCTATTTGAGCTAGCTAATAAATCAATGACTCAGAAAATTATCTAAGGATATCAAATAATATTAAAGAGGATTTGATAAATTTTCTCGACCCAAATTATAAAATTGGCCGTTTAAAACTGGCCTTGAGCGAATGACCGACCCTGTAAAGGTATTTAGCTCTTCACTACGTGTATAATACAATGTTACAAATGTACTTTCCTACAGATACGACAGAAGCTGAAGCAAAACGAAGACTTAGAGGAAGGGAAAGGATTTACAAGATAGGCCGGTTTGTGCTTGAGTGATGATGAGGGTTAGTAATTACGGTAATTCAATTAGTAGTTAGAGGCTATATTTGGAGTGTTTTTAACTTAATGATATAGAAGAAAAATTTGTTTTTATGCATAACTTCAGGCGAGTTTTAAAAATCTTATTTCTATAAGTGATTAGCAATTCTGTCAGTAATTAGCAAGTCACGTGTTTAAAAATTTTGGATCTGTCTCAGCCTGATCAACTGTGCACCTACTCCTCCCCTAACCCAACATTGACCCTAATTTGATATAAGTTGACTGTTGTTGGGTTGGGAAAGAGTAGGTGCATAGTTGCTCAGATACTGACATTAATACAAGGTTTTTCCCTGAGTGTTTTTCCTGTTTTTACATGGTGAAGTCAGTTTTAACTTCTAAAATAGCGACTTTGATGGCCAAGCTGCTTCTGAGGGTATCAGCATTAACCAACTGGAGCTAAGCTTTCACGCTCGACCAAATCTAGAAATGTTGTGTTTGGATTTTATTTTGTGGACAAGTATGAAGGGAACGTGCACTTAAAAGTGTTCGTACTAGGTGGTTACCTATGTCTGAGAAAGTGTTGTAAATGATTCAAAGAAGGACATTGTAATTACCGAACGTGCGAATGTATTTTATCATGGCAGAGGAAATGTCCCAAGTTTTTGAGACATTTAAAGGTTTGTCACTCTCATACCTGCAAAAACTGCCTAAACCAGTGTTTCCATTAGAAAGAACATTCATGCGTAGGTGTCTTTTCTTTCGATTTTAAAAATCAATCTGTTTCGATTAGAGTATGATAAAATGAAAGCATATAAGCACGACAAAGCAATTAAATGACTCGAAAAACACTATGTTCAAGCTAAAAGCAATTTATTGATCCTAAGTTTTGTATAGCAATGGGCATTTGTGTTCTCCATATTCCAAGAAACAACTTTAATTTAGAAAAATATTTTATGAAGCCTTTAAAATGTTGTTTTCAACTCATCATTATCGGACCCAAGGTTATAACAGCAATTTACAATAAGAAAAGGTTGGATCATTATATGTTAACTGCAATTCGAATAAATCTAAATAAACCTCAAGTTTAGATTGGACCTCAGTCCGTATCTCTTAGATACTAGTTGAGCGTCATTACAGTGTTAGCGAGGATATCACATGTTAAAAGCGAGGGAATCATTGTTCCATGTAAGGGGAACCTGATCACACGTAGTTTAATTGAAATTAATAAAATAAGGCTGACCGAAGGATGAGACAATAAGCGATGGATTGGCTAATACGACACTGGCTGTCTTATACAATGGTCACATGTAACAATTCCAATTACACTGTATACGATGTGACGTGATGCGATTAGAGTGCATTATGCAGTTATAATAACAGATTGAGAATGACGTTTAATTAGCTTTTAGAACTAGATCTCCCTCACGGATATTTGCGTGTCTAATTGATGACACAATTATGTGATAAAAAAGAATCTAAATTTACCATAAAGACAAAAACCTAACAACTAAATCTAATAAAAGCAAGATAACATGAGCTGCTCAACCCGTGGCTCTTGATCTGTTACGCAAGGTATGTCTCTATGTCTTACTTGGAAATAGCTACATAAATGCGTAATTCACGAGGAAGAAAGAGCAATGACTCACTAGTTGTCTTTTGAAATTAACGCACTCGTTCGGCAAGGAAAAGAATCTTAGGACTCGGATTGGTATGATCAACACTTTTCATCAGAGTTGTGACGCCCTTGCGGTCGCATCCCACGTAGAGTTTGGTGCCATAAAGCTTGAGCATCGTGTAGCCCCCGTGGTATTGGGGTTCAAATACCACGCTCTTGCCCTTGTAATCACTCGAATCTTTTCCCTTGCAAATTGGAAATAGCGTTGAATCAGAAGTTACTTCGCTGAACATTCGGCTCATCATAATCAATTGATAAGTTTAACACGCGCGATTTAATGTTGCACGCGCGCATTCTGTTTGAAACTATATTTTAACCAAAATTGGTTGCAATTTCGCAATCTGATCGGTCAATCTGCCTCTGTCGATTACGCTACAGACAAAGCTTCCTCGCGATAACGTTAATGTATCACGCAACGGTCACGCACTACAATATTCATTTTAATTGACGTTTTTGACGTCGATATCAATCGACAGTGTTTTAGCGCGGAATCCGAAGGTCTGAGGTTCGATTCTTCATGGGGACTCAGAATTTTTTCTTCGTTCTACACTCGTGGCAAGACGAAAAACATCTTTCTCTATTTCTTTAAAACCTACCATCTCTTCTGTATGACGCTATTGACATTACTGATCCTAGCAGTATGCAGGACGCGTGTCATATGAACTTCGTAATAGGCCTCACCTACCGTAGAGTCTCTGTGGCTGTTTGGTAAAACAAGGGAGCGCGGAATCCGAAGGTCTGGGGTTCGATTCCTCAGAGGTCAATATGTTACAGACTCACTCGGCTGCGCCACGTGAGTCCACAACATTTTGACCTCTGTCATGACGAATATTGTTGGCGATAAGAGTACAGACCACAGTAAAACACTGTCAATTTATGAAATCGCAGCAATTGTCGCAATGCTTGTCACGTAAAGACGTGACTAAAAGACGCGTCATCTGGTGGTCAGAGACAACCAAGCTGTCTAGTTATTGTAGTTGCTAACCAGTTGTTTGCCACAACGTATGTCTCGATACGTCAATTAGAGAGGCAATAAAGAAGTACATTATCAGTTTTTTTAGGTTTTGTTGACGTTAATCTTCTGTTTGTTTTGTTTTATGAACAAATGAATTAATAAACGCTAGATTAAAAGTAGTTCCTTACTACGGTAGTGATTGGTTGTCCTTCTCCATTTCCTTTCATTGCGTATTTATCGTCGAATAGGAAGGCATAACAAGGTGGGTCGTTTATCCCTTGTGTTTTATCCCTAGTAGTCACTATGATCACAATGGAAGAAAACGAAAATTTTAAAGTCAAAGCCCATGTGTGAAAAATTCGGTCTGACTTTTAACCTAGCTTGATGGAAGTTTGTCATTAAATGCGCATAACCCCAAATTTTAATCCTCAGGCCTCAACGAAGATTCAAGTAATATAATTGTTAAACGAGAACAGAAAAATAAATCAACTTATGGTATTGGAACTACTAACGATTAAGAGAAAAAAAATGAAAGGAGGCAACCATAGAGTGCATCTATACTTAGTTATATCGTGGAGCGAGAACGACACGTTGCTAACCCATTGAGATATGTTATTGGGTTCAAACGACATATACACTGTACAAACAGTTATGCGCGATCTAATTAGAGGGGCCCGACGTTTCATCGCGACAGTCAAAAGCATACCTGATTGCACTCTTATGGTACTTATTAGGGTAAAACGTAGCCAGATTCTTTGTACGGTTTTTAAAAATCATTTTACAACAAATGTTTTCGTGCATGTTAAAGGTACATGATGTATGTTAGCATAAAAGTCTACTTACTATTTTGATGATCACTATTTTGATCTCTTCCGTTGCAACTCACTTTGCCATCGTTGGGATTCCTCTTCATAATACCATCTCCTTCCTTGCTAAACTTGCTCCACAGTTGATAAGTGCTGTCTTTAAAAATTGTATTGCGCACTTCGCTCTGCAAAGGTCACATGAACATCTCATTGTAGCATGACGATCTCGCGAAGTCTTAACTTGATCTCCATCGAAAAGTATGAGCTAGTTATGTATAGTAGTTATGTATGTGGAGTAGCAAGTAGTAGTCTTCTTCTCGTTTAGCTGTTTATCGTAAGTGTCCTGAAAATCTTAGGGCAACTGACTCATTTGCAAGTTCCCCCGTCTAAACCTTTTATAGTTAGCCTCCTGAAAAAAATTAAGTTCGCCCCCACTTCTACAGGCGCAACCAAAAGATTTAAACTCATTTCTTAAGGAAAAAATGTATTCCTTCTCGATCGAAATCATGATGAATTTCAATCCAAATACAATGTTCTTTTTTCTGAGTCAAACGCTTGATCACGGAAACACCCTACATTGCTGTGAAACTCTCTACTTCAAACGAGTGCCAGAGTTAAAACAAAAGATTAAAACAAAGAGACCAAATAAAACAACCAAAAAAATAAACGCTCAACCGTCAGCACCCCAATGACTCCCCTCCGAAGAAAAAGGGAAACAAAACAAGACAAAACAGACCAAACAAACAAAAAAAAAACAAATAAAAAATTGCGTAACAAAAAAAAAATGGTTGAAAAGGGGAAATCAATGTATTTGAAGTTAAGCTGAAACTAGATTTTGTGAGTCTGGAGAGAATGCGAGAGTAGAGGGAGGAGTCTTGATTTCATGTGAATCCTAATTTTAACGTAAACGCAAATTAACACTTAAGAGCAAAGCACTGTTTTTATTCAATCTTTGCTCACTAAATTTTCTTTTCAATAATTTTTTTAAAGCCCCTGGTAAATTCTGCCTGTACTCACATAAATGTGTTACTAGTACGCAAGAAAATACGTGAAAAACTATGCATATGCATGTTTAACTGTTAAATGGAGAGACATTCTTTACTGATATAATTTTCACTCTTATTTTATCATCCATATATAAGCTTCATATGAATGTCAATGGCGTTGAAAAAACCTTTGAAAAGCATGAGAGAAATATTGTCACATGCCTTACAACTAGTTCTGAATCCTAGATGCAAGAAAACTTCCACTGGCATTGTATTCTCGAGCTTTTTGTTATAGTGATGCTAAACTATGGAACTCACTCCCTAAAGACATTCGATTCTGCGATTTATTGCCATTATTTAAAACCAAATTAACGCTCACATCTACTCGCCATCCTAGGGTTAGACACACGAGAAATATTAAATTGGGACTTGTATATCCTCTCTGGCGCTTGAAATTGGAGTTCTGAACGAGTTTAAAGGGGATGATGACAATTCCTTTTTTGTTGAGAACAGTTTGGCTTATGAAGGAATATCTAGCAAGCCGTCAGGCCTAGGATGGTACAGTAATTATTTGTGAGGCAAACTTACTGAATCCATTCCTTCTGCTTTCCCAGCGCCTTTCTCTTGATGCCACGACATCTAAATAATGAAAACGAAAAAAATTAAACTAAATAAACAAACAAAAAAACAAACAAAAAAAAACAGAGAGTAAACAATCACCCCCCCCCCCTCTCTGAATCCTAGATTCGTAAAAGCTTTACGTGGGCATGTGGTATCAAGCTTTTCCTATAGTGATGCTGAACCATTTAAGGTTACTTCCCACCTTCAGAGGCCAAAAAATCAATTTTATTTGACTACGCTGAATTCAAACATTCAACCTAACGTTTCCATTAAAAAAAATTCTGAAATCTTAAAAAGCACCCGAATTATTTAGAAAAACGTATTTCAAATAAAAGTGTCATAATCTCGGACCTGGGCGAATCCCTTGGGGGAATTTTCGCGGCAACCACTCATGTTAGGGCTCGATTATCGTGTTATTTCCATATTTTGTTTACATCGCGTACTTTGCAAAATTCGCTAGAAGCTCTTTGTTTATGGAAAAATCTTTGCTCATGGAAAAATCAAAAGCGGAAAAAAGTCCTTGTTAAAAAAAGAAAAAAAAAACACAGGCTCAAGGAAGAAAAAAAGGGTACCATTCTGTCAAAGAACAAAAAAATTCCTTTGTGAAAGCGAATGGTACTGGTGGAAAGAAGTCGCCGTCAAACTAAAATTTGCCATTGACAATGTTAAAAACGAGTTTTCCTTTTCTTTATGCAAGTACCAGCCTTGATCTAAAAACATTAACAATCGCCTCGAATCGTAATTTCGAAAGCTCGAGTCAGCTGATAGTAAATTACTGGAAAAATGGGCTCAAATCTAAGAGAAATCGGATCTTTTTCGAGTTACCGGGCGTTCTTGTTAATCGGGTTCGCTTTAGCGGGGTTCTACTGTAATTAAGGTAGTAGTATTTGAAGTCTTCCACATGACGTCAAGAGGTTTAAACAAGGAAGTATGGTTTTAAGAGTTAACTTCTTTTCTGGAGCATTGGAGCAATGACATACGTTTCACAGTTTCAAACAACTCTGAGGTCTCAACTAAAAAATAAACAGCCAAATAAGAGGAGAAAGGAGGAACATCAGAATTTACACTATTTTAAGCCGAAAGATGACGGTTTTTTCCCTTTCTTTAACGTCATGCTTAAGATATCGAAACCTTTCCCAACATGTTTGCTTAATGACGCGTTCTGTGAGTTTTTGTCCTGCGTAACCAAAAGTTTAATACGATTCAGTTCAGAAGCGTCGACATCTCACCAGTTCATGTTTCCTTTTCCGAGTTTAATGGGTAATAGCCACTTAGATTCACGATTCCTTCCAATAAGTAAAGCTAAGCAGTTGAATGATTGACGTGAATAAGTGGGATAACCACGCTGCGACTCGTCATTCCCTTGTTCATATATATACTCTAATTTGTCTTGACATATTTCTCTAAAAGTTGTCACAAAAGCTCGGTGATGGAATTTGCAAGAAGTAATCATCGAAAAGAGGCGACAAGAGAAGAGAAACTGGATTATTATGGCACAATCTCTTGCGGTCCCTTAGAAAACACATGCGATACTTTCTTTGCCCGCTGCGGTACTTTCGATGGGAATGCTGCCCGCTAGCTATTAACTGGAAACTAGACTAGGGTTAGTCTAGTCTAATGTGTGGGGTATGGCGTAACGAGCCTTAGAATATTTTCAAAGTAAAGCTCGTCATATATACCTGTATATATACCTGTACGTTGTGGGCACAGTTGTTGATAAGTAATTTTTTGAGGAGTCTGTTTTTTCCACGAGAGCAAAGCACAAAGGAATCTTGAAGAAAAACAAACAAACAGAATGCTCATTTATCAGCTCTTAAGGTCCTCAGTTCTCTTTAATTTACAGCCTCTTAAGATTGTGTGACAGGGTTGAGTGAGTTTTTTGGGCCCATTACAAAGCATTGTAACGCAAAACCATCGGGATCACGGATTACTTTCAGAACTTTTAATCACTGGTTTCATCAGTATTGAAAAGTGCTCCTAAAGAGTTCCATCCTACAATTTAATGGGGTGTATCTAGAAGCAAAAATGTATTTTTGCATCGAATAGGGTTTTTGTGGCAAGAAAAACGTTTTTATTGTTTTATGCTTCTGTTCCTCCCAACTCAAACGCAGGTAAATTTCTGTCAGCAGAACGCCTGGTACCCATATTTGTATTGATATTTCTTATAGTTAAAATGATCACTTCTCATGAAGCCAAAGGTATTCAGACATACTTTGAGCAATGTAGTAGAGGCTTTGATGTTTTGCCAGGTAAGACTCGTCAGATTTAACGTCCGGTAATCAGCAGATCAAACTTTTAATGGCAACAATTCGAAAGCCTTCACGCGATGGCCATTTTATTGACATCTGTCATTATTAGCTGTACGAAGGGACTCGACAAAAGCACTGATTGTCTTTTTTTCGTCGAATGCTTTCAGTCAAATCTACTATTGTTGTTTGTAGTTGTGTCTTGCTTGGTTCTGACAAAACTCTTAAGTGTTTTCAAGCTGTTTATCGATATGTTTTGCATTATCCATCATTTCTACTCGCATCAAAGTGATATCCATGGGCCTCGTTATAAATGATATCCTTATTTCGAAAACGTACACCCTGTTAACATGAAGCACTTGAAAGTAGCGTGCAAAATCAAGAAAAAGAGTCGAGTAGAAACCAAACTGGTTAAAAGGTTACTTTTACTTATTTATTGAAAGGTCTAAACATGTCAACTGGTGATGTACGCCTATTCTGCTGGGTGTATGAATTTGGTCATGAAAGTTACGGTTCAAAAATTTTTGGTCGTGGTTGGGAAAATAAATTGGTTCGCAATTTATGAGTCGATAAATTAGTTCATTATTGTTGGTCTTCCTTAATCATTTTCGCCTGTAGTCTATTTGAGGCGGCCTAGGGAAGAAACTTGCCACTCCGCGGACGAGCAAAACTAATTATGACTAAGCAATGTCATTTTCTGTAAAACACATTGATTCGCCATTCCAAGTGGGTAAGCGGTTATCTACTGGCAGTTACATGCCGGAAGGTCACGTCGCATAGGAAGAAGAAAGTGCATCAAATAATCATGTCTTGAAATCTTCATGCTCTTCATTTGCACTGTGGGGTATCAGACAGAATTTTTGAATATGACGATAGTTAGAAAGAAAAACGTGCCAGTTTCTTTGTCACTGGCTGTGATAATTAACTCAAGCCGTTCCATAAAGTTAATTGAGCTTATTTAGCCAATGTTATAGCTCAACTGTGACAAAAACCACACAGAGGAAGTTGAACCTCTAGTTGTGCGTGTGTGTGTGCGTATTTTTTTTATTTTTGTTTGTTTATTCCTTCTGTTTTCTAGGCTTTGATTTCTAAAAAGGCGAGATGATTATCAGAGGCTTTGTTTTGTTACTATTCGTTGCATTAATATCGTCTTTGGTCAAGGAACATGGAAGAAGCGATGGGAGTAAGCACGAATTCGAAGGTAACTCGTTACCCTTGCTAGTAATATCATCATAAAACTCACAACATCGTCACTGCTATCATCATAAAGTCTTCGTCATCAGGACCCTAAAGGAAAACATAACGGTAACGGAAGTGACGTTCGTTTTTAAACAAAAGATTTGATAGACAGCAGAGTAGCTTTACACGAGGATTTTACAACTTTTTCGCGAAAAAATGGCAACCTCGGCAAAAATCATTCCAGGCTTTATTTTACGAGTTATTCTGGAGAGTATTATTGTTGCCGCACGAGAATTTTAAGACTCCTAAGCATCTCTCGAAAATCAAGACAGTTCTAAGTTCAATTCTCCCTGATGACCTTGATTTTGTCATCGAGTTGGCTCAATTAACTGAAATGGATGTATTTTAATTTTTCAAGACTCAGCTTTCTCAAGCAAGACCATACCAAGGGAGATTCACCACTGGATCAGATTTGACGGAGATTGGTATAACTGTCACTTGGAACGTAGTATTGATTCGCATGGTGTGTTCTGTAGCTGCCCGTTTCTGGCATGCACGGGATACCCACATTGCTTCGGCTTAAAGCATTGTAAAATATCCAAGAGATACGATTATTTAAACATCAAGAAGGAAGAGTGTAAATGCCGCAGATTTTACTAAACGCGTGAAACATGGAGAAAACTGTTGAAAACAGAAAGACCAATATGAAATAAGTGCAGAACTTTTGAAGAAATTGTTTAATAAAGTAATAAAATAACTCTCAAAATGTCTCAATCGCATTTGATCTTGAGTTGCCTAGGCAAAAGGAATTTTTATACAAACTTTCTTTGGTTTTGATTTTTACAGTTCTACTGCAAAACTTTCATCTTACACGTTTTACATGATGGCATTTTCATTGGATTAGGGTTGTTACATGTATTCCAATCAATGCTTCAAAGCTCTGCTTTCAATTCGAACCAAGCGTGACTTGTACCGATGGAATAAAACATACCCTCAATCCGTCTGTTTAAAGGATTTTATGATTAACCGACTTAGTAACCCAAGCCAATCTTTATTGACCTTTTCTGGATCTTTCAGAGGATTATAAACGAGTTCGAGGCATAAAATGAACAAGTAATGTCATGTTGGCTATTTTTTGTGTAAGTTCTGTTTTCAGTTCAAACGAGCTGACCACCTTGTTGATACTAATAAGTTCATACATAGCGTTTACGGCATTCGGCGAAAAAAGTTCTCTTAAATTTCAAATTTTACCCTTCATTCAAGCCAATCTTGAAGATAAAAACAAAGTAACTGTAGACATCTCTTGTCCGAATTGGAGGCCATCGAAAATGGTTTCATTTAGTGACTACAGGCTATAATCAGAAAGTGAGATTTTTACAATTTGCTGTGGTTCAAAGCATTTTTTATATAAGTGACCTCTTTATTAGGTACAGACAAATACATCAGAGACATATAAAAAAAATCGTTGCACTTAACGGTTACGTGAATTTCTCTCTTTCAGAGTAAAAATTGGGATATATGTATCCAGAGAGCTTGCCTCTTCAATAGCATTTAACAGGTGGTAGCGAAAGGAATCATTTTTGTTAACACCGTAATACCTACGTATACATCAGTACGAAATGTGGATGCCCGTAAGTCTTCGCATAACGCAAATATATCGTTTATCCGGCCAGCTGCCATCTGGGCTTAATGTATTGCTCCTTCTACAACTGTGAAAATCCATTGCCTGAGCAGAATGCTGAACAGAAAAAGCGATTCTCGCGTTCATTACTGGCATCTATAGAATAAGTACGTGCCCATTCCTTTCAGAGAAGCCTTCGAGTAATCTTTGTGCACAATTTCTTTTAAGAAAAGATTATTTCGATTCCCATAACTAAACGTTTGTAAACACTAATTATCTTTAACGGAATTCTGAGCATATAAAACACATGAGATGCAACGTATTTATTTTAGCTTTATAATTTTCCCCTAGCGAGCATGCAATAGCAGATTACCCTATCGTTTATTTATCATAAGCGATATCAAAATTCAATTAACACGAACTGTTTTTGCTGCAGGGGACGGAAATTTCTGATAGGTTTTTTATCGGCAATGTTGAGTGATGTTCTGATTCGGTGACAGAGCGGACGACTAAGTGCAGTTTATTGAACAATACGGAGATTCTATTTCAAACGAACTTCACGCCAGTGATATTGAGACGTCTAGAACTTAACTTTTGCCCTCAGCCCATCAGCGATTTAAAACACATTGCGAAAATGTCTGCGTTGGTTGTCAATTCCATGACTTTTCTTACTTTTCGGCTTTTTTCTTAGATATTGCATGGAAAGCTCCTGAGGAAGATTAAATAATTTTTCTTTTTTGTATCCTCTTATATAAGCATTTTAGAAAATTTTTTAGAAAAGCGGTCAGAGATTTCAAATTAGGCAGCGGTGGCTGATACTTCAGCGGACCATTAATAGGACAAAAATAAACTATTTACGATAGCAAAGCCTAGGGGCTTGAAGATTTGAAAGATACCTGCTCTTTTTTCTTCTTCTAGCGGCTCTTTAGGTCCTCTTCGGGTTATTGCAAATATATCGCTCCTGTAACTGTTATTACACGAAGAGAACCCAAGTTTTTATAGCAGTAACCACCTTAAACATGTTGAAGCAAATCGGTAAAACTGTCATTGTTTTTCATCGCCAATAACGCGTATAAACAACGTTTGGGCCAATTTCCACCTTTGTTTATTATGTTACCTCTTTTTATAAGTTTTTTTTTCTTGTACCTATTATATCCTATTTTTATCGTTATTGTGTTTTACTTGATAGCTTTGTCATCCTGTCATAACAAGTTACCTCTCCCAAAATAACAAGGATCCACGCTGTCACTTTATTCTGCCCGTACCCAGCTCTTTTTTAGCCTAATGGACTCCTACCAAGATAATTAAAGCTGAAATAATACTTGACTTCGGCTTGAAATGCCTAAGGAAAAATGAGCGCGTAATCTTTGACCAATCAAAGCTCTCCAGAATATCTTTCGCCGCTAATATTACGGATCTATAATTTTTTCGCTACTGCAAGTAAACGTACCGAGAACAATAGGCATTGTACGCGATGTCTACGCTGAGTTTCGTTTCTTCACGCCCTGCAGAAAAACATTCAGGTTGAAGGCGTCTCAAATGTCTTAGATTGTGAGAAAACGAAACAAAATAGAAAAGTAAGAGGCAATGATACCTGATAAGAGTTAAGAGTGGATTTTGTGAGGAACAGGAATTAAAAGTTAGTATAGATCTTCTTGTAAATGCTGTTTTACTTTTGGATCTTGAGTAATTTCGGCCTGCTTTCATCAGGCTACACAAGATTTGTAACGAATTTAAGGTCAAATATTGCGACTTTGCGTGTATGTTCCTAAACAAACTGCTGACTAATAAACCGATAGAAAGTGTATTTCATGTCTTTAGATTCTTAGTATGCAATTAAAATAATAATGCGTTTGCAAACGGATAGCTGTGGTTGGTGAAAGATCATTTCTTAAAGGAAGTCGCACACGAAGATCGCTCGAAGTTTCCGCGAAATGACAAAGAGTAGAATCCACGTATTCCATATACCAGTAATGAGTGCGAAAATCACAATTTCTGTTCAGCATTTCCCTTTGGAAGCGAACCTTTTTTCAGCAACGCATTGTGTACAGTTGGCAAATGGTCAGGTAAACATGACAAAGGGTTGAAAAGGGGAAGATGGGAAATACTTCGACAGGCGTTGTGTAGAAATACACTGCGCCGATAATACGGTTGTTTCCCCATAAGCATCACTCAAGAAAAAAAGAAGACTTACATGCACTCAAATTTCTTAAGGACGTGAGTATCACGATCGTAAAAAACTTTACCACCTCTTGTAAATCTCGTAAGGGCACTCATCGCATGATAAAAAAAAAACTGGTATTGGTTAAAACTGTATCATGTTAGGGACCAAGCATGCTTTCTGAATACATATATTCTACTTTTCGTTTGAGGAGAACTTTAGAATTTCAAGTACCTGAAAGTTACATAATTTGTCTTATTTTTTTTCCATAAAGTAATAGATTTCACCCCCAAAAAGAGGTCCCGTAATTTAACTTGACACGCTTGGCAATTGCGCAGAAATTTTGTCCCCAACATGGAACTACTTGCATCAGCCGCGGAAGAGAAATTTCTGTAGCTGTTTACATCATCAGTATTGTCTCGAATAACAGGTAAAGTTTGGGATCCAAGAGAACATTTTTGCCGATTAACGTAAATGACATGTTTCAACTCGGTAATATAAAGCACTAAAATTAGCCAACTTGACATTGCCTGCTCACTTAATACTTCAGTATGGTTTATAATCCTCTTAAATTTGAATTCAGTACAAAAATATGAGTTTGAACGAATTCTCGTTGGAAAATCTCCGTGCTTGTTATCGTCAATTAAAAAAAAGCGACGAAAACTGCTGCTCTGTTAGGGTCGTGAATAAAACCAGTCTACACGCATTCCCAAATGTTTTACCAGCTATACTTAGGCAACTTAAACTTAACTTCAGTTCAAGAAAATCTCAGTGGCTGATATGTAGCTCAAAAAGCTGTTTGGGTTAAGTTCTTCGTTGCAAGTCTTCTAACTAATAATATAACAGACCCCGATCAGTTAAGTACTTTCCAATTGTGTTGCTGGAATTGGCAAGGCAAACATAACAGGTGTTTGGGGTACGATCTTTCAAAAATTAGTTCGGTTTTTTACATTAAAAATACAAACAAACAAAAAACAATCAAACAAAAAACAAACAAACGAACAAACAAAACAAAAACATGAATAAGGATTTTTCTCGCCGGTACCTTGCTTTATAATAACTCACTGACGACACGTTAGTTGTCGTACTGCGAATTCGCAGGACGCGAATTTCTTTGATTGTGAAATGTGTGATGTCCCTCTTATTTTTTTACCTTCCTTGAATAATAACTGACCATTTAGTTTTCGCGTGATATTGTTATGTTCCTGCAACTTCTTGCACGACAATTAAATTTTATTTTTGCAATTTGTATTTTCGTAAATTTACACGTGTGCTGTTACGGCTTTCCTTGCGGCTGAAAATCTTTGTAAAAAAAAAAACCCATTTTAATACAATAATCATTTTATTACCTACGTCTCAATTTCTGCGTGTTTTTGGGTTTTTTTTTTTGTTTCATTTCAAGCTTTATCTCATCAAGCCGAAGACCATTTATTGACTGTGGAGCCTTGTCAGAAAAAATAATGATGGTATAATGATAGGGAATTCATGTACTGGCATTTGACAAAGCATTGAAAGTTTTACCACGTTGTTAAACGAATTTTCCCCTCTTAGTTTTCCCTGTAAACCATGTGATTCTCCGAAGATCACATTCGATACTCCGAAGAGGTTTGATTCAATTTCTGTTCAGAAGTCCGTTACTCACGAAATGCTTTAACAGCAAGGTTACTGCATGTTAGTGCATCTTAGTACATGTACCATACCCCTCTGATCTGACAATTATCCCTAATTTCCCTCCTTCTCAACAACTGTGCAGGTCTTAAACCTACACGAAGAGAAACTATAGGAACGATGGGAACGCTCCTCGTTCAACAGTCCATAATTTGTTGTAGATGTAAAACTTTGCAACATTTGGTAAACTAAGCTAAATATACTGAGGGGCTAAGATAAATAATTTCACTAATATTTGCAATTTTTTAGAAGTTCCACAGCATAAGTGGTCTTGTAGCTCCTCAGCAACATAAATAAAGTTACCAACAAATTTTGGGAGTTAAATAACTTTCTATTGGTAACTTCGGCTGGTTGATTTAGGAGCTCTTTTCTAATCACCAGCCTCCCCGTAATAGTCATCCAACAGTTAGTCTCCTCTGCTCCTTGCAGTTTTCTGAACTTCACATAGTTCCTAAACCTCAAATTCAAAATTTTTAGTTCTTGTCGAGACCATTGATGAAACATATGGTTGGACAACATTCTTTTACCCTAATAGTTAAAGGTGGCGCAAACAAAGCGTTAGGACTGACTGGAAATGGAATAGGAAAGGCTGTCGCAGCGCAGTAAGTAAAGGAAAACTCGTTCTTTTTGATCCTTTCTTCTTCGCCCACTTCGCACACTCTCAAACTAGTAGGGATACCAAATGAAAAACCTACTTCTATGGGTAATTTACTTCTACGTTTTTGGGCATCAACCACTGCGGAATCAGTAAAGGAGAAAAGTTTGTAGCAAACTTTGTCCTCAGCCATCGAACAAAGAAATTTTTTTTTCTAAATAAATTATTCATTTTTCTTTTTTCATTCACTATACTTTCTCGTGGAATAATTAAAAAAAAATGATAGTATAATCAACATAGAAAAAACTTGTTCTATAATTTCCTGAAGGAGACTAGAATAAAAATCTCTTTTAAATGGTAATTTTAATAAGTATTTTTGACCTTGACGTTTACAACTCACGCAGGTATGATGTTACATGTCTTACCCCCTGATTCTATCCATTTTTGTTATATTCATGATGGCAGTCACAATCTCCTGTTTGGCCAGTCGTGATGCGGCGGTAATCATAATTATTATTCTTGATAAAACAATGCCAACTTCCATCTTGACAGTTGTGACTCCCTGTGCACCCCAGAAACGCACAGCCACACCAGGTACCATGATCATTTTTGGATATGAAATGGTCGCAATTGAACTCGTGTCCGTCCACCTTTACCTTACTGTGAGCCTTATGAAATCTTGTGCCATCTGAAAGGAAATAAACAACACTTACTATGGTAGGCTCTGTAGTGTAACGAAATGCTGTGATGCTCTTTTAAGGCTATACGGGCCTTTGGCAGTTACGACGGCTACACCAAGGAAGACGTCGATTTAAGAGTGAATATATATTTTTAGTTGGAATTTCGCGAATGACTGGATGTGTTTATCATCTATTACGGCGCCGCAAGTTAACCTCAGCAAAACATATGAGAGCGGCGTTGAGTTCCAAATGAAAACTTAAATAATTTTCCGTCGGGGTTTCCTCTCTCGGACCACGCAAACTAGGGATCTTAGGCAAACTCACGACACCTTCAACTTCATGTGGCGCCGTATAAGACGGTGAACACATGCAGCCATTTTTGGAATTCTAACTAAAGGCAGAAATTCATTTTTTTAATCGAACTCTTCCTTGGCGTTGCCGTCCTGACTGCTTCAGGTCCCTATTAGGGAACTTAAGCACCAGACGTGTTTCGGGCGACGGCGACGTCTACAAACGAGCGAGAATGGGTATGAGGGCGCCGTCGTTCCCGCCAAAAACCAAACTTAAGCATAGAGATATTTTTGCGACGGCAACCCATTCGAAACCTGCCTCGAAAGCTTGAAAAAAAACCCGTGAAAAATGTCTTTTCGTGAAACAAGAGAGATGCTGTTACTAGCGTATGATAGTAAAATAATTTCTGATGAAGAATTCTTGGTCTTGTGGGAGAGCTGCCGTTCCAAGAACCCTGATTTTCCGTACAGTTCGTATGCAAGATTTGATCTTGAAAACATTCACGAAACCGAGTGTTTGGCAGAGTTCAGAGTCCAAAAACAAGACATTCCTGTGCTGGCAAACGTTCTTCAACTACCAATGAACATCCGTTGTCCGCAAAGAACAATCTGTGATAGAATTGAAGGTTTATGCATGCTACTGAGAAGGTTTTCTTATCCTTGTCGCTATTCAGATATGATCAGCCGATTTGGAAGACCAGTTCCAGAGTTATGCATGATTACGAACGAAGTCATGGACAACATTTTCAACAATCACAGCCACAGAATATCTCAATGGAATGACGATATTTTGAACCCTCATTTGTTACAGGAGTATGCTGATGTCATACATGCAAAAGGCGCCCCACTAGAAAATTGTTTTGGATTCATAGATGGGACAGTGAGACCGATCGCTCGTCCCGATCAACAGCAAAGAATTGTGTATAACGGTCACAAGCGTGTTCACTCGTTAAAATTCCAGTCCGTTGCACTACCAAATGGGCTCATGAACTTACGACAAATGTTAAAAATCAGTTTTATACTAAATTTCTTGAACCACTCGGTAGCGAGGGAACAGCCGATTGAATTGACTATCCATAACATGTGTTATAAAAGAGAAATTTGATAAATAGAGGATTATAATAGGGCTCCATTTAAACTAGCTCTGCTGAATTGGATGCCCCTGGATAAATAAATGAATAAATGAATGAATTAATTAATTAAAGCACGAGCGCGCAAAGATATGGAATTTCTTGATAATAACTTTTATCATATAAACTACAGTGTTATACAAAAATTTCCAGCCCTGAGAAAAGCCGTAACAACACACGTGAATAGATGCGATTTTTTACCATGTGTGTTTGATATCGCCAATCTGCTGCTGACACGTCACTCGAGGTCATTATTCGGTGACTACACCGCTGACAAGGAGCCAAAATGAAACTGGGCTCGAGATTGGTCAGGTTGATGAATAAACTGCAAAGCCTTTACCACCCTCAATCCGTGGTTGTTTGTTAGAATTTTCTCGGATTAAGGCTGCTAAGACACTGAAAAATTCGTGTCGCTTGCAGACAGTGACGTTGAAATTTTCCTTGAAGGAGAAGAAAACCAAAATACGAAAATAAAAACCGAAAGTTACGTATTCAGTGGCCTTGGTAATGGCATCTCTCGCGGCTGAGAACGAAAATCGACAGCTGGAAGATTTGCCAAATGTATTATTCTCTATTTATCAGCGCGGAAAGATGAACTGCTCTATGTAACAAGGGATTAATTGCTCCAGTGAGCAGTGCAGACCTTTTTTTTCTGCCACAGGTAGAATTAATTTTAACCTCTCCCAGAGAACGAGCTAAAACGTTTTTCAATAGATTTTACACTTCAAACGGAAAGACGATTAAAATAATATACCTTGCGATTTCTCTGGTCTACTCTTTATGTGCTTGCCCTGGGCTGATAAAGATAACACACAAAACAGGAAAAAAATGTAGGTGTACTTGAAAGCCATCTCTAAAAAAGACAAAAACAAAAACAAAAACGAAAGAACAGAAAAAAATTATGCTCCTGATTTGCACTTTATATGGGATGAATTCGTAGACGACAAGAATTAATGATGTTTTCTTTTGGTCTCAGGTGAAAATAAACCAAAGAGATCTAGAATTGTCAAATTTCCTCTCCGGAGCACGATGTACAGTTGAAATGCATACCGTTTATTCAAAAAACACAGAATCAAAAATCCGCATAATCGTTAAATATTTCCTAACAGATTGAACTCAATATTTTGCACTGCAAGCGCGGGAGCGTTTGATTAAAAAACTATCCTTACCTTGAATGAGAATCGCTATTAATCTCTAGGCCGACTTCAATTCCTACTGATGCTTTCAACACCAAAGGAAATCTTTAAAGGCTCAGTAACAGGTCGTTCTTGAACTTTTCCAGCTGTGTGGGATGCATGGCAAACCAGCGGCACGAGTTGCAACAACTATGACACCCGTCTAACCATACGGGAGACCGAAAGAACATTAAATAAGTTATGTCCAATATGTTTTTTTATATTGTCGTTTTACTTGGAATAAGTTAGATAATCGCAAAATCGATTTTCAGTTATATGTGAGACAAATTTCGTAATGTGTGCAAAATACCGTCAACAAGTCTGTCTTTTGTTTTGGTTTTTTTTTTACCTTTTTTTTTTTGTGTGAGATAAACACCCTTTTGACCTCCTGCATGTCGAGTTAGTGGGACAAAAAAAATTTAAAATAGCGTAGAACAAAAGAAATTAGCTACTGGTAGAACAGCTACTAAAAGTCAGATCTAACTGAACGTTTTTTGACAATAGAGTTAAGAATCTAATACTCTATTTTTTCATCCTAATTTCAGGCAAGATTAGATTTGAGTGGCACTTAACCGCCAGGAAAACTATTTCAGATGAAGTTCCCAAACTATGCTTGATTTGCCTCCTATTGAACGTCCATCTTTTTATACGAAAGGTCAACCCCCACCGTGATATGGTGTCTGAAGACATACATGTATCAGATCCTACTGCTAAAAAGAAAACAAGCAAACAATACAAAATAAGAACCAAATATGACAAAAAAAAAAGAAAAGAAAAGAAAAACAAACGTTTGAGAATGTTGCGTATACAAAAATTTGAATAATCCTAAGTTTTTTATTGTTTCGTATTTCTTTCGGGTGTGGAAGACTTATTACAAAAAATTTTTGGACAGAAAAACCAACTTTTAATATTGCAGATTGCCCCTCGGACGATCAAGTAATAAAGTGAAAATTCCAATTGTTTTAAAGTACACATATTTTTTCAATCCTTTTCTGTTGGATCTGCTTAAGAATTAGAAAAGTTATAATTACGGAACTATAGGTCAATTTTGCCATCAGTGTTATGGTTAACGTGTAACTGAATCAATTTTTTACATGTAGACTTCCATGTGAATTCCATAAGCATCCAACATAATATAGGGAAACCGAACGACACGACAAGATTTTTTTTTTCTTCTTTTTTTTCTTTTGCTTGCTTGTTTTTCCTCTGGTGCCTGAAGGAATCAAAGTTATATTCGCAAATCTTTACTTCACTCTAAGATGGTTCCGGAGAACTCGCGCCACTCTTGAACCAATCAGATACAAAACAAAAACCGGTCACTTGCCTTCCCTTGCGCTACTGACAGTTGGAGTTTCACATTGAGTAAGTTCTTGTTGGTCCATATGATAATTACCTTTGTTGAGGTACTTGTTTCTAAGATTATCGTCAAATAGCTCTCTGTGGCTTGGCAAAAATTCTACAGAACTTAAAAAATGTCAAAGCAACACAAGAAGCTAAGCCCGAGGAGTTTAATATCCACGTGTACCGGGAATATTTCAATGTTCCCAAGGGACCAACGAAATGTATTTGGTTTGGTGGAAATTGATTTGACGCCAATTGACAAATTACTGCCTAGTGAAATAACCCTGACTGGTCAAAAACCTATCGTTCATTGCACCAGTAACCACAATTACAAATTTAATCGCTTTATTCATCGATCAGCTGTTTCTTTAATCGGAGTCCAGCGTTTGAAGTGAAATGAAGTGTAATTTTTTTACCATGTTTGTACAAAGTTGATTTTTTATAACAGATCGTCGGAGAACTAAGGAAAAAGGATTTTTACTTTCGTCTCTCGCCGATATACTGCCTCTGGGTCTGCGGGATGATTAACGTACTTTTAGCAGAAACACTACTGTAACAGCGCTATTTAAGAGATTCTATCTACATGCAATCTTCACCGCAAATAAACGCTGAGACCTTGAGAATCTAAATAGAAATAAGTAGTTTGTTAAGGCCGGAGTTTAATGATCGATAAACTGCAACATTTTACAAAAACAATACCACTGCAAGCGATACTCTCGACTTGACACTTTCTGGAGCTCAATAATGAAGTTGCGACTAAATGTTAGGGGGAACTAGCTATCGAGCACACCACGCCCGGCGAAAGGCACCAAGACTCTTGAAGTGTTTTTTCCTGCTTTCTTCAATCGCTCAGTTTTCCAGTACACAATTCCACCTACATCCAAGCTTATTTCATTCTGAGTAACTCTGGTTAATCTCTTAGGCTCTCTCGTTCTGATTCTCACTGGACACTTTTTCTTTAATTGCGGAATTCTGACTCTCCCCTACTACACATTGTCTACATTCTTCTAGTCTTCTCTTTTCTCTCTTTTCTCTTTTCTCTTTTCTCTCCACTCTCTTCCATGTAAACTCAAAAGAACAAGATTATATATTCACTAGTGACAGATATAGGTAAGCGTGCCAGCTGGCTGACCTTGGCAGATCAAATATCCGTTGTTAGAATGCTAAACCAAACATTTTCGCGAGACTTTCGATCTAAACAATAAAGTACTTAATCATAATATAATGTTTCCGTTCAACTGAGTCAATCTCTGACTGCGTTGGTCAAAACAAGAACATTCGTGTGGGTCGTCAAAAGCAAGGTCAGGTAACAAATTAAGCAATTAGCGGTTGCGGTCACCCGTTACGGAGTTCCAATGGCCTGTTTTTATTGTTTCCACTTGTATAGAACGGTCGCTGAAAGCGGAACCACATTAATAAAACTAAGAATAATCATTCCTGCAATTTTTGATCTATAATTATCTCCCAAAATCAAAGCAACTAGATTTTTTTCATGAGGTTCTGTGCGATAAGTGATCAGTATCGAGTGTTTCTCCCCACTCAAGAGGTTACTTGTATGCGGAGGTTACATAGATTCCCATGTCATATGTACTTTAAACAGTTTTTCCTGCGTCACGAATTTAGAAGAGAAAAATTTAAATCTCACCGCACCCTGCCTTTCTGTAAAATGCACGCAACACGTATTTATTTTTGGCTCAATCAACTGTCACGTATAAACCCTTTGCCAACCTATTATACTGAATTACAAGCAGCCCGCGCTCACAGCACGACAAAATACACCACGCCTTTCCCCCGCTTTGCAAGTTTGCACCACCTAGCATCAACGGAAAATTTTCTTTCATTGAACTGCTACACTCAGTTTGTTCTACAACATTGGAAAGGAGATGGCAGACCACATCCGTTTGAAAAATTTATGCTCGGGGCTGTTCAAAGTTTATTTTAGTTACACTGTTATGCAACAACTGATGTCACGTTCGGAAACACATACCAAAACAATGAACTGCAGTAAAAAATTGATCAGCCGTGAGTCAGGCCCACTTGTGTTTGTTAAAAATTTATTCCAGACATGTGAAAATGGAGTTTTCTGCTTTCTTAAAGTGGGATGCAGCAACCTGAAATTTACCTGATAACAAGCAGGAAAATAATGAATACTTCAGTGATAAGCCTAGTTTGCAATCACGTTATCACTCGACTATGTCTGGTGTTTCCATCTTCTTTCGTCCTCTAGCCGCTTCCTAACTGCCTTTACAACAGAACAGAGCACCTTCAAGGCCTCTCTATTAGTTAAATATCATATTAAGCGGTCAACCTGCATTCAACGTGGTTGACCGCTAAATGCAGGTTAGATTGTATTTTTTGTTTTAAGAGAAGGACTGAACGGTATTTCTTACATAGAGTATGTAACGACCACGAGGTTTTTCGAGGTGCGTGTTTTTAGTCGTCGAATGCTAGAGCGACCATCTGCGTGTAGAGTTTAGTTTCGAGGATTAAAGTGTTGAGAACAGTCAATTGTCGGCTGAGAGATATTTCTTACATTGTGTTGCATGCCTCAGACGTCAACAAAAGCAAAATGCTATTCACTTTCCACCTACACAAACATGGGTGCTCTACAACAGGAAATCCAGCAGCGCACGTAAGCAAACAAGGATAAGTCAGCGGCACTTTTTGGAGAAAATTCGTCAAGTGAACGTAAACTTAAAATTTCCACAAGGAGTTCATGTTCTCTTATGATTGCAAATGCCAAGTACGATACGTTTTCAAGTTGCGCTAATCAGTAGGTAACAAGATAGTTTCTCGGACAAACAAAGCAGGTCTCTTTTGTGATACTAAAGTACAGCCCACGCAAGCCTGACCCAGCCAACGCGAAGAAAACTTCCTCTCCATGCACCATCGAGTAAAAAAAGTTTTCTGAAGAAACCTTTTGGGGTCTCGATTTCTTGCATGTTCTTAAAAAAGTGCAATGTTATTCGACATGTTACTTTTTCGATGCAAATTAACCTAACTGAGTCGTTCTTAACCATAGAGTTAAGAACCCAATACTTCATTTTTTCATAATAGTTTTAGGCAAGATAGTATTTATCTTGCGGTAGCGAACTTAACTCTGTCGCAATCCAATGCATTGCTTAATCTAAAAAACACTTCATAATATGCTAATATATGACACTGGAGTATTGGTATTCAGTTGAAAAACAAACAAGAGCAGCTAACGCTAAAGTGATAAAGTGATTGCAAACCAGGCTTATTATGAAAGTGTTTATTATTTTCCTGCTGGTCATTAGGTACATTTCAGGTTGCTGCATCCGACTTGAAGAAAGCAGAAAGCTCCATCTTCACATCTTACAAACTCAAGTGGGCTTGACTCACGGTCGATCAATTTTTCACTGTAGGTCATTGTTTTAGTAAGTGTTTCCGAACGTGACATCAGTTGTGGCGCAACAGTGCAACTAAAAATAAAGTGTTTGAACAGCCCCGAGCACGAATTTTCAAACGGGTGTATTCTGCCATCTCCTTTCCAATGTTGTAGAGCAAACTGAGTGTAGCAGTTCAATGTAAGGAAAATTTCCGTTGATGCCTAGTGGTGCAAACCGGGGGAAAGGCGTGGTGTATTTTTGCGTATTGTGAGCGTGGGCTGCTTGTAATTAAGTATAAGAGGTTGGCAAAGTGATAATACGTGACAGTTGATTAAGCCAACAATAAATATGTGATGCGTGTATTTTACAGAAAGGCAGAGTACGGTGAGATTTGAAGTTTTCTCTTCTAAATTCGTGACGCAAGAAATACTGTTTAAAGTAAATGTGACATGTGAATCTTCGTAACCTCCGTATATAAGTAATATAATAAATATATAATATATAAATGTCCTCAAACACGCAAACTGTATACTACTTTCCATCTGATTGAAATAATTTGACATTAATTATGTTATGACATTCATTGGTTATAAATGTAGTTTAAATCTTCTCCCCCTGATGAATACTGAAATACTGTAAAAAATAATTGAAATAATTCCCAGAAATCAAGACGGTTTTGATTCTAAGAAATCAACACACAGCCCACGCGGTGGTGTCATTGAAAAACAGGAAGTCTATGGTAACTGTTTGTCAGAAAATTTTGTTAGTAAAAGAAATATTTGCTATTTAAATTTTGCTCACTTATCAGTGCGAGACATTCTCAGAAAAACAGGAAGTTGATAATATAATACAACAGGGACTTTCCCAAAGAAAGGAGTCGTAGCGTTGCTATTGTTTTGAGGTCATATCGAAAGTCGCATGATTTTTTCGACCAATCAGCAAGTGTCTGATGCATCGTACATGAGGTCAGCTGTTGATGAGATAAAGATACCCAGATACAATGCACATGTTTGAGCTTAATTTCAGTAAATACAGTCTAACGAACGCTCAAAACAATTGACGTCAGAGCCACACCTACTACTTTCTTTGCAAGTGGTTTAAATTCGCGTGTGAGCAAAGTCAAACACACTGTTCGAGATAAGTTGAAGGTGTTGCCAGTTCTCCCAGTTTTTGCAAAGCGGAAAAAGCCATGAATCGCCAACAATCCAAGTTGCTCTACCATCGCCTCATGCTCCCCGACTGGCTGCGTAAGAATGCAGAGTGGAACTCTCCTAAGGAAGGGAATGAGTTGAATCTCGACATTTTACCCGACTCCTCCGACTGGGAGAACATCTTGCGAGTTCCTCTCATTCCCAGCGGCGAGCTGAGTAATGAGGAGGACATCACTGTCAAGATGAAGGTGGGCGTCGTTTTGCCCGAGCCTCAGAAGCCCCGGGACCCGATGTCCTACATGATATCCGACGGGGACTTTTCTGTTGGAATTCAGCTCTTGGATCCCAACCACGATTACGCCAAATTTGGTCCCTACCGAGCTGTTGAAGGCGAGTCAGCCAGAGCCAAGTTGCGAAACCCAAATGTAGAAGTTGCGGCGACTGTTTCTTCCACTTCAAAGAATAACCCAGATCAGTTTGAGCTAACCTTCAAGCCCTCCGAGATGTTTGGATCTGCCTACTGCGCCATAGATGACGGCCACAAGATTGTCGCTCGTTATTCTGATACCTTGAGCCTGAGAAAAGGGCTGACCTTTGAGTTGTATCGCTTTAAAA